TTCTATGGGTTCAGGGTATAATAATCACTGAAGAAAGTCGGAGTCTTTCTGCTTTCACTATATTGATTTTGTATGAAAATCCTTTATTTACATTTAGTCGACTGATGCTCATTCATCCACTCATTCACTTTTTTACTCATTCAGACCCACCAAGTGGGTTTCACGACTTCTCATTGCTGTCACACATATATAAATGTCTGTATTTATTGATTCACTGATTGATTCATACTCACCAATACCTGACCAGTCCGATAGCCGCATTGGCTATTTTGTAGGAGGCTGCGTTCAGACGAGGATAAAGTCATCTTCTGGATCAGCTCGAATAGATAGGTGCAATCTCTGAGATAAATACAGGTGCCACTTTGATCAGTAGGCGTAGTACAATATCCGAAGGTTTCTGCAGAGAAAATAGTAATAAAATTAAATATAAATTAAGCACAAAATAAAAAAAAAAAAAAAAAAAAAATAGGAATGAAGAGAAAATAAATGAAAAAAATGGGTTCAGGGTATAAAAATGACAATGTCGAATATTTGAAATTGTAAACGACGCGTCGTTTCACAGATTTCATTGGGTCGAGTTCACAGCTGATAACCAGTTGATTACTTCTTGTTTTTTTATTCTTGTTAGTCTTAATGCCGTTCTCTGACTCAATTCTGGGACTCTACCCAATGATTGTGTCTGCGGCCATTGTCTTCGCTCACCTTGCGCGTAGCTATAATGTAACCTTTGTAGCAGCATCAAAACCAGAAGGATTTTCATTTTGAAATTATAAAAATGTTAATTAAATTTTAAATACAAAACCAATTTATTCGATAACAAGATTTTAAATATAGCGTTGCTACGTGTTCTTCCCGTAGCCAGCTCAATTGCACTGAACGCGCCTTATGAAGATCAACCTGATTCTACTTATAGCTGTCAGCGAAGCCTCTGAGAGATAGAGGGTAGAGAGCAGATAGAGAGAGACAGAGAGAGAGAGAGAGAAAGAAAGAGCAACAGAGAGAAGGGAGAGGGAGTGTGTGAGAGTGATTAGCTCTATAAGTAAAGAGCTCATAAGTTAATACGTATAAGACGATTGTGAAGTCTCTGCTATCTGCTAAATTTTTTCTTCTTTTATATTTACGTTTCCCCATCTACCGCGTCATCAATGCAATTTTTAGTTGAATGGCGAGTTGATTTCTCTTCTGCTTCACTCTGACAGTTCTTGGCCGGTTTTAATAGCCACTTCCACTCGAAAGCGCTTGCGGTAACTGCAGCAGACAACTCGATTGAGCGAAAAACTGAAGTTCACTTCTAAAATTTTTTTCATCATTTTCTTCTTTTTTTTTCTATACGAAGATGTATACATACATATGTATATGTTTACCATGCGTATTTAGTAGCCTTTGTTGTTTTAAAGGCTGTAACATATATCTGAACTGGAAATTAATGGAACTGAAATTTTATTTATTTAATTTGTTAAAGCTGTTTATATATTATTAATCTATTATTATTTGTTGTTTTAAAGGCTGTAACATATATTTGAACTGGAAACTAAGGGAACTGAAATTTTTAGTTATTTAATTCGTTAAAGCATTTTATATGTTATTAATCTATCACTCGCTCAATTAGCTTCTTAATCGAAAAAAAAGTATATATATATATTTTTGGGATATGGTTTACTTTAATCTACTCTGAAGATATTTACATTTGTATCCCAGTAGAACTGTTTATGGAAATTTATACAGAATGACCAACGCTTCCAAAAGAGATAAGCTTTGTGTCACTCTATAAATAAACAGTAAATACAAGGCGGTTTTACCTGTGCACAGAAATGCCCAAATCCCAACTACTTAATACTATTGGCTGACCAGGCGAATTTGAAAGACCCACATTAATGTGGACGACGGGGCTTGGCACATGTACACCTGTGTGTGTGTGGGTGGGTGTGCAGGAGTGTGTAGATGTGAGTGCAAATGAATGCGAAAAGTAAGATGAATGATTTCAATTTGTTACAAGTGCTTTTAACTTTAGATCCTGGTCGAGGCAGCAACCAACATTTGCTGCTTACGTGTGTGTGTGTGCTTGTGTGAGTGTTTATTTAGTGGCGGTTAGTTTGCTGATTTAATGCGGTTGGGCACTTTAGGAAAGAGTGGACGTCGTCAATTTTACCATTTCATTTGACAATGCATTTCATTATGGCATTCCATTGCTGCTTCGTATTACATTAAAGTGGAACTTTAGCCAGAATATACAAGCACATACAGACCAACACTGGGATTGCTTGCGTTTGTTTTGGCTAATAAACACGACTCTTTACACTTGGGTGAAAACAAAGTGTGTGTCCATTTATTGGTGCTTGGGGAGGGGATACCTGGTATGTTTGTATAATTAAAAGGCATTTGATGCATTATTTATGAGCAAAGTTCGCAAAGAAAAACAAGTAAGAAGGCTCCAGTCGAGATTGCTCGCCTAGGAGATACCCTTAACCGCTAAGCTGATATTCTACTCATTCTGTACTTCTTTTATACACACATGCATCCACACGCACGCGTAATCACGCGCTCTGCTGACTGCGCAGATAGTAGCAACTGATCTTGGGCTGCGTAGTGTGGGCAATATTATGAGAATTTATTTGTTGAATTATTTCTTTTGTACACATACAATCTTAATGAATCTTTCAGAGCGTAATCATATGGTGAAAATGTGTGTACATTCCAAATTGTGTACAAGTCTACTAGTACTTTTTTACAAATTGTGGGCGAAGGGGGCGTGGTATCTAAAATCTGTAAATTAAAAAATTTTCGTATCAACTATATATACACAGTAAATCTGAAGTCTCTAGGTCTAAAAGTGTTCAAAATAGGCTGAATAAACAAAATCAATTTTTCGATTCTCGATAAAAAAGTTATCGGACGAGTTATTGAAAAAATATGATAAACTTGTACTGCGTATGGTACACACGAGTATGCATGCCGAATTTCAGCTCTCTCTTATAACTTCTGAGATCGACGGACGGACGAAGGGACGGACAGACGGACAGGGCTATATCAACTCAGCTCGTCGTGCTGATCAAGAATATATATACTTTATGCGATGATTCCTTCTGCCCGTTATATACTTTTTCACAAAACCATTATACCCTCATTTCCCATTTACAATGGGTTCAGGGTATAGAAAACGTGTAATAACGCTGCGCAGATTGCTATTCGAAATATTATTCGTTTCTTGTACATATCCAGCAGTTAAGCTTTGTGTTTCATCATGTGCAGTTTATGTATATTCAAAATTCATAAGAAAATATATGAACTAGATCCACACATTCGCACAAAACATATGTATATCCTTTCTGCACTGAGAAAAATGGGCAGCCCTGTCGATATGTATGTTTATAGTGTGGATAAAGCTCGCATTAAGTGACAAGCGGAACTAAACGCATTAAAATGTCAACGATGTCAATTTAGGAATCAATTGTTTGGAAACATTGCGGAACTTTTTTAATTAAAGGAAATATGCTAGAAGCAAAAGGGAGATAACGATAAGCATGAGCACATTCTGTATTGATTTGTAGTACGTGCAATAGTCAACTGCCACCCCCAATCGAATTCCTCGTTGTCGAACAGCACAAGGATGAGCGCGAAGCAGAACCAGGACCAGCCATGTCAAGGCAGGACGGGCAGTTTCCAAACACTTTGGCATTTTATCTTTAAACAATGCGGCCTCGCATAATGACAGCATCATGAAATGCCAAACCAAATACCAAATACCATTAAAAATATCCTGGATGCTTAAAACCAGGCTTTATTTATGTTTGAGTGGTGGGTTGTAATAAATAAGTCACAAAATAATATTTTCAGTTTATCTTGTTGAGTCGAGACCCGTTGAAGTCTGCTTTAATTGTTTTTGCAAACTATTAAAAAAACTATTTTAAAACAAGTAAGAAAGTCAAGACTGCTCGACTACGAGATCCCCTAAACCCTTCGAAAAACAGCTATTTCAATAATTTATCGCGTCTTTCTGCTTACACAAGAAACACACACGTATAAACACGCATGGGCTGCAGTGTGCGCTTAAAATGAGAATTTAATTGTTTAATAGCTTTTCTTGTGGATTGACTATCTTCAAGAAACTTTCAGATTATGATTATAACATTGATATGCATGCATTTGCCAAAGCACAAGTCTCTAGTATTTGAAATACGTCATTTACAAATATGTGGGTGAGGGGGTGGATATAGGGGTGGGGGGTAAATTTTAACAAAAACCGAAATTGTATAAAATGCATATAATGCATGGAGACTCTAGCTTTAAAGATGTAGGAGATATAATTTTATAACTGATTTTCGATAGGGCTTTTTATCGATACAAAATAACGGGATGAGTTATCGATTATTTGTGATAAATAATACGGATATTAAAAAAAAAAAAAATTGAAGTCTCTAGCTCTTATATCTTCTGACATCGACGCGTTCATACATACGGACAGGGCCAAATCGACCCAGCTCGTCGCCCTGATCAAGAATATATAAACTTTGTGGGGTCTGCCACGCCTCCTTCTGCCTGTTACATACATTTCCACAAAACCATTACAACCTGATTTCCCATTTTCAATGGAATCAGGGTATAAAAATCTTTAAAAAATATTAACAAACATGCATTATTATAATAGCTATCCAAATATAGAACGGTAAAGCGGTTAGAGAGAGGTTGACTGCAACAAAATTCGAGAGGATCATCTGATCTTATTAAACGAAATTATTTAGTGGCCGACCTATTTTATATGTATGCATGACTTAAACCAAAACACTTACGAAATGAGTCTCAAGACAAATGCCTCACGGAAACACAACATTGACAAACGAACAGATATGATTTTTTAAATTTTGATTAATATCGAGGGACACTCTGTCTTGAAGCACTGACTCCTCAGTGTAACTAACAGTGTAACGAGTATTTTCTATTTATTACTGATCGTAGATAGTTGGGCTGCAGTAGCTAATAAAGGAGCAATTAAAAAGCAGGAGTTTTAGTTGCATTTAAAAACTTTTTATTGGAAATTAACACTGTCTATATATATTAAAATACAATTCAACAGTAAATACAACACAACATATTAAAACGCAATACAGTATAATATATAAACGAATGCAATGTAATGCAGTATGCATATGTACCTTTGTATGTACATATATGCATGGGCGCCTATGTAGAACGAGGGTCTTAAGTATAATTATTAAAATGCCTGAATATATTTATTTATTAGTATCATAATCGCTAGGATAATAATTCTTAGTTCGTTTTCTTTTTCTTTCCTTTTTCAAACCGCTGAAGTTTGTCTCTTATTTATTTATTTTTTTTTTAAACTAGTCTTCGATTTAGTTTGCATTTTGACATTCACGAGCATCAGGATATAGATATAGATTTCCAGAGTTAACTAAGATAAGCTGACAAACACTCGTTTGCTATTTTATAAAAGTATATAACAGCTTTATTTTAATTTATTTATATTTTATACTTTCTTACGAAGTATTGTTAGAATCGTAAAATTTTGTAAATGACTCTATACAATTAATTATTTTTTGGATTTGCTCAACTATCGCAATATGTATATATGTATGTATATATTGTATATATTGAATCGCAAATTTCTGATTGATTAAGGTATAGAAACTTTAATATATATTTCGTTTTCATTTTCATCTTATATATATATCAAACTTTTAACAATAATTTCAGTCGGTCGTTATATATATATATATATATATATATATATATATATATATATACACTACATTCGATATCAACTACGTTTACATTTTTGAAACATTTCTGTATTTTACTTTCATTAAATTTTTGTAAAATCATTTAATATTTTTAAATTAAGACACGAAATTTGATAGGTTTTAGATATGATTGTTGCTCTTCTAAATGATTGATTCGAAAAATCTCACTAGCATGCCTCTAAAAAACTAAAAGAAAATTTGCCATTTTGTTCATCATTATTAATCATTATAACGTATTATATATAGGTTTGAATAATCTGTCTGCTTCGGCTGACCGAAGTACGGAAAAATGTTTCTTAACTCTTGAAATGGTTTTCAACTAGCTTCTATTCCTGAAAATATAGAAGATATAACTATATATATCTGAAAAATTATGTAAATATTTTGAAGAAGCTTAACCTAATTTTTTAGACTTCCATTAGCATATTTGGAATTTCAGGTACATTAAAAATCTTATGAATTATTTTGGCAACGAACGAAAACATTTTAAAGCGTCTACAAGCTAAATTGAACATAATCGAAACGTTTTGAATATTACCGAATCAAATCGAATCTTAAGAACCGCGCACACGGTAAAATATAAAAGACGATTTTTTTTATTCTGGTTGAGTTTGTGTGCCCTAATTGCTTTTAACTAATGTTTTTGTTTATTAAATTTCGAGTTCTGAAATGCTTTAATCTATTTTTTCTAATGCTTCATCGTTGTACTTATTCGATATATAAAATATTTCTATCGATAAACAGAACTTCAAAAACAATTCACCAATTTGCTCAATACTGAACTCTAATTAAAATTTAGTGCAGCAGCTTATGCGTTCCAAGGGCACATCGTAAGGTTGTACAAATATTTATATAATATTGATCGATATACATAGTTATTTATGTATATCAACCGCTTTTTCACATTTATACGCAATAAGGAGGTTTTCTTGGCACTATGAATAAAGTATAAAGTATATATGTTAATAGAGCATGTCGGCTTATATATGTATATATATATATATATATATATATATATATATATATATATGTCCGCATGCAGCTTGAAACCGAAATTATGCAATGCTAATACATCTTCTGTGGAATCGGGGATAGACTGGTGTTTCAAAACAAGTTTCTCAGTGGACAATTCTTAAAAGCATCGCTGAGACGTTTTCTTAATTTCGCTGAAAGTACAAAAATGAAAAGAAATTAATTTTTATTGAAAAATTTGTACAAGTTCGTCAAATTGGCTACGAAAAGAAAAATAATAAATTACCAGAATAAATGACATAAGATAAAGAAAAATGTTACAAAATGAAAGAGTTTTTGTTGACAGTTTTTGATAGTTTTTTGTTCAGCCTAGAACACACAAGACACAATCGGAAGAAATTGTCTCAATCTTTTCTTTTTTCTTTTTTTTTTCATTTGTTAAAAATTTTGTTTTGCGTCTGTATTGTGCTGTTTACATTAATTTTGTATTTGGGAGATACCTACCGAGCGGTGGGGCTGACTATAAATGAGTCTTAAGAGTGCAACGGAAATTAAGAGGAAAACGATGATACTCACGTTTTTTAGGAGGCATCTCGTTTTAAAGATTTTTAAAGACACAACTCACCTTCTACCTTTGACTTAGTGTACAACAAATATATCTGAGTGTCAGCTCAGAATGTATGGAGATGCAGATGCAGAGATGCATGGTATACGAGTAGACAACGTTTTTAAGGATTAGGTATACTTAGCGTTTATAATAGTTAAGATAGACAATAGACAGTAGCACCTGCGTTTTTTTCAGTTAAAAAAGGAACAGGAAATTATAGAGAGCAAAAGGTATAGGGATAGAGAGACAGAGACAGATAGAGAGAGAGAGAGATGGGCACGAACAGACACACATATAAGGAATTTAAGGTAAATGGAGAAACATTTAGACTAACATTCATGCCAAATCAAGAATGCTAAACGTAGACAGAGATAGAAAGAGGGAGAGAGAGAGAGAGAGAGAGAGAGAGAGAGAGAGAATATAAGAGATATAGTGTACTTGGTTCGATGGGAAGAGAGAGAAACTCAGAGAAAAAGAGTTCGAGATTATTTGCCCAGACGTACACAAAAAAAAACCATTGTATTATTTGTGTTTTTTCTCATATAAGTATATATTATACATATATATCTTGTTTTTATTATTCATTTGTGTTTTTTTTTTTTATTATATTTTTTTCTTTTCAAATGTTTAAAGTAACAATATAATTAATCAACTATTAACGATTTCTTATGTTTTTTATTAACTTTTTAATTTTTTTTTTTTTTTTTTGTGTATAGAGCTGCTTTCACATTTAATAATGACTTGAATGGTATAATTTTCAACATTATATTGCATTTTTTGTTTTGTTTGATGTTTTCTTTTTTTCTACGTTTTTTTTTTTTTTTTTTTTTAAATTCATTTCCCTATTTAGTTACACAAATACCCAAATATATATATAGCGATATATAGATACATATACATATATGTAGGAATATATATAAATGGGTATATTATTTAATAATATTCAATAATAATTTGGTATCTATAAACTTTTCGATATACATATACATATATATTATATCATAACTATCTGTAATATTAAACGTCAAAACTAAAAAAAAATTCATCTGAACCATTTTAAACATTTGCAACATTAATGATTTACATTAAAATCTTTCGTTATGATTAAATATAATGTTCTTCTTCTTTTGTTGTGTATATATTTGGTATAAATTTGGTGTGTCTTTTTTTTTTTCTTTTAATGTTTAGTAATCAATACAAGTGAACTTCAATATCATATATATGTTTTGAAAGAACGCAATAGAGATATATTTCCTTTACTAGAATCTAGTTAAACATGTTGTTATATTTTGAAAGCATTTTCCATTTACTTGTAAGAGCTAAGAATTGGAAAGAGCATAAAACTTGGGTTCGGTAAAACTAGAAAAATTAAGTTTGGACATAAATAAATAAATATATATATTTATACTAATTGTAGTAGTTTTTGAGTAGAGTTTAGAAGTTAAAGATATTTTAAGCATTTGGATAGTATCTTGGAGCCACTTTAAGGCAATTTGATCGTTCATAATTTTATCGAGCGAGGGGCACTAGGGAATTGCTTTTTAGGGATTGACAGCGAGTTTAGTTGTTGCCTTCGAAGTCAAAATATGTAAGAAACAGTGTTAGGCAATGATAGAAAGAAATAGGTAGTTATACTACGAAAAAGTCTTGACTTTCGTCAGGATCAGAATGGGCTATTGTTGATGCCCAAAAGTTTTTAACAACACACAAGCTTCCGGTTAGTCAAAAGCTTTTGTAACTCGTTTCACTTTTTGATGTAATAAATATTGTTCACTAATTTATGTATATCTCATATATTAAGTATTGAATACACTTTACTCACTATGCGGTATTTTTGACTGTGTATGTAAGTTGAACATTTGTTTGTTTTGGTATTTGTCGTCTGTTTTTGTTGAATCTGTACATATAACTTTTAACATTTACAACACCGTATATATTTCTTTGTCTATATGCATGTTACTATATATGAGTGTGTGTAAGGGAGTGTGTGTAGGTGTATATAGATATGCACTATACAAAAGAAGGAAAAATAAAAAGAAATATTCACAACAATTAGATATACTTTTGAACTATTGTTTGGTTTTGTGGTATAATGATTTGTTGTTTCATTTAGTATTGTACATATAAGATAACTTCTGTAGATGTTGTTGTTGTACTTGTTTTCTTGTTGTGCTGTTGTTGTTGTAGATGATGATACGGGTGGTGTACCATATATTTTAACACGAGAGTACATATGTCTGAAAGAGACCAGCGAGTCGTTGTTGTTGATGTTGTGGTGAAGATTGTTGTTGTTTCGTGTGGTTGTTGTTGTATTTTTAGGCAGAGTAGTAGTAGTGGCGCAGATTATAGATTCAAAATAGTGTTTCAAATCAAAAGAAGAGAGAGACAGAGAAAGAGAGAGAAAAGAGACACCAGAGAAAGAGAGAGAGATAAATATAGAGAATGCAGTGTGATTAATACATTTATTCATATGTATTTATATTCATATATATGTAAAGTATATTGCATAAATTTAAAAACAAAAAGTAAAAATGCGAGCTTCGGTTGCCCGAAGCTGAAATGTCCTTTCCAAATAGTAATCTTGGATTTGTATACATTTTTTTAAGGTTAACTCTATAAGGCATTCTACAGGCAGATTTAAAGACGGATCTAAATTTGGATTTGGAAAGGGCACATAATGAAGGGAAAGTGTGATATATATACATTATATATATATACATTATGTCTATATATATTTGGCTATATATTGTTAGCAGACATACGAGTGTTGAATCGCTTATTAATCGAATAACGATATATTAACCATATACTATAATTTCACATATAATTGATATATACTTGACTCGTTTATGTGCATGGCTCAAATATGTACATTCATGCATAGCATTCTGTACCAGGGTATTGTTTTGTTATTGCGTGAAACATCGTATTATCTACAATTCAGATGTGGTATTTGTATTTGTAGTATATATGTTTATGGATATCGAAAGGGATGTACCCAAGTACCTACCCTTGAGACCCAAATATTATAGAGTCAGATCAGACAACAGAGTTATATGTATAGAAAATATATATAGTATAAGTTTCCGTTTTTAATCGTTAGCATTGTCTGCATGTATTATGGTATTACGTATTAAGTATGTGATGATATTAAGGTTTGCGCTTTAAAGCATGCATCATTTTTTATTTAATATTTATTATTATTACTTTTTTAAGAGGGGACGTGACAAAATGGATGCTAAATGTATCACAGCATTATGCTCTCGAACTGCCTAGCGTTTTCTTAAGAACTATTGTCCTGGGCTAAATGCCTATAATATAAAGTTTTATCTAATTTTTTGTTTTTTTTTTTTTTTTTCTGTTTATCATACATTATGTCCTATTTGATTATTTTGTAACTTAATAAATATATATAGGTTTTAGTTAAGAAACTGAAAGTTTTAAAAGTATTTAATGTAGAGTTTTAATTCTAGGATAGGAGTTGGTTTTACTTACATTTTAGAAGCTTCAATCAGTATGTTCAGTAAGTATCTCAAATAGCTTAGAATGTTCTCAGTTTGTTGTGTGTATGTATTTTTAATTGTATAGAAAAGAAACAAAATGTTACAGCTGTTAAAGGAGACTTTTAAAAAACAAAACGATCATGAGATCTTGGGTTTGGTTCATCATTATTTTTTTCTCAATTCTTCAATCAGTTCGAATACCAACGTTGATTTTGTAGTCCACATTTGGGAAAGTTTAATTTTAATTTCTTTGGAAGTATAGATCTAAATATATCATTTATCGCCAACAGAAAAAGTATGCTAGATCATATCCAGTTTCCATAGAAATTCGTGTATATATTGGGATGCATGTTTATGTAATTATGTTTCATTAAAGTCCAAAAAAAGATTCTTCAGCAACGTATTTCGACGGTTCGACATGATTCAGCAACCTCTCCATTATAACTGTTTTCTGACTATGTCTCTGTCGCACCAATCGCAGTTACGTTTTAGTTACGATAACGACTATGTCATCGATATCGTTTCTGTTATTTTTATCGCTATCAACTAATGTATTCTTTTTGTTTCTTTTAAGTGTTTTGTTTGTTTTTCTTTTTCTTTTTTATAGTTTTGGGGGCATTGAGTATATTACATTATCATCGAAGCAAAAGTGATTTGAATATATTATTAAAGGCGTTTACTATATATTTCATTTATACATAATTTAGTTTATGTTTTAACTACTTTTAAAATTCAATAGGATTTCACCGTCCTGTTTTTCATACATTCAAACGAATGTATATTGTTTTAGTCATTATAATTTCGGTACTTTTATTTTGTTACTATTAAACTTTTTGTATTATTTTGCAGTTTATATAATTTTTTTTCGAGATACTGTGTTATATATAAATATAACTAAATGGATTATTCCAATATTACGCAGAACGTATTCGGAACATAATATTTATATTATTTGCATTATCAACAAATTCAAGTGTTAGAAATCAATTGCATTTTATAAATGTTTCGTTTTTACTCGTTCAGTTATTATTATTTTAATTAATTTTTGTTATTATTGTTACATATATTTTTTATGATGACTGACATATCACTGCATGACACATTTTCCCTCTATTTGAGTTTTTAGCTCATTTACTTGCGTTTCTATTTGATTTTTCAGTTCTGTAAAAAGAAATTGAGTATGGAAACAGCAATAAATAAGCATACTTTGTAGAGTAGACTACAAATGTTATATGTATGTTTAACTGGTATATGTATATGTATTTTGCATAGATGCTTATGTTAACTAACATAGCGCAATTTTCGTAAAGTTATGTTTTTGAGTGCAACTGATAACTGTACGGTAGCCAAATATATATGTATAAGTATATGTAATTGTTCTAAATGAAAATTGTAAAATTTGTTATTGCTAAAAATACGTCACTCAAAATGCAATGCAGCAGGTGAAGGCAGAGGGGTTTGGGCGGCAGTCAGAACATAAAACATAATTGTTCTGCTCGCGAAATGAAGCATTCAGAGAAAATACCAAAACAAAACAAGTAAGAACGTTGCAGTCGGGCGTTACCGACTGCGGAATACTCATTAACATCCCATCAACAATTTAGTAGTTAAGTTTCGCTTTAATACTGTATAAAATACTGTTTTTTCCGATTTGCAACGCCCATACTGGGCGTAGATACCTCATTTTTGATCAGTCCTTAGAACGTGATAGCGGTACCCTAACTGCAAAGTTTGAATGCTTACCCTCAAAAAATGTCAAAATTACAGGGTATTTTTCGATATGCCTCGCCACGCCTAAAGAGGCGTAAACATTATTTTTGGGTCATCGATAGAGGAGGTTACTGGTAACTTAACTATCTAAATTTGAAGCTTCTAGCTATTATACTTTAGGAGATATAAACTTTTGCGGATTGCCACGCCCCTTGTGGGCGGACATATATCCGACAAAATTTTTGCTCTTGGGTGATCAGCCCGAGTATATATACAAAATTTGAGGTCTCTGGCATCAAAAGTGTCCAAAATATAGCAGAATTTAAAAAATCACTATATCTTCAGGTCCGATTTGCCACGCCCCTAATGGGCGTAGACTTAGAATATATATATTTTATAGAGTCATAACATTAGCTGACGTGCAAAATTTCACCGCTCTAGCTGTAAAACTCTTGGAGATACAGTTTTGTCCGATTTGCCATGCCCCCAATGGGCGGAGATATATCCGCCATAGCTCGTGATCTTGGGTAGTCTAAATTTTAGCTTTCTAGCTCTTCAACTAACATGATTTCTGGCATATCGGAAAATGCATTTTCCGATTGGCCACGCCCCTAGTGGGCGGATCGTAAAAATGTTAATACTTTATAAATCAGAGATATACACGAGTATGTGTTCCAAATTTCTCTTTAGGTTCAATTGCGCCGAAATAGATTGCGTTCATACGGACAGACGGATAGCAAGACGGACATTGCACAAACCCAATATACTAATTCACTTTCGTGAATGAGTATAATAATTCACTTTCGTGAATGAGTATAATAATTAAATTTCGTGAATGAGTATAAAGGTAGAGATGTAAACAGATAGAGAGCGAGAGAAAGAGTCATAGTAAGTCGTGTGTGTGCGAAGCGTGTGATAGTTAGATTTCAAATGGTGTATAGAGTAAGAGAAATACACATACATAGACAGCATATGCACTATATATATTTTACATAGACGTGTTCTGATTATGTAAAATACATATATTACATAAGGCGTAAAGGAGAAAAAGAGTAAGCAATTGTAAGAGGGAAAAAGTTTATAAGAACGTTTAGTTAGTTTTGTTATGTTTCTGTTTTCTTTTTTGGATTGGTTTTTTTTTAGTACATTAGTTTAGCAAACAAAATATTAGTAGATAGTTTTATTCGAGCTTCATAAATATATATTTGTGGTTGTTATGCGTGTTTAGTTTTCATAGATGGAAAGAGCGTTTTTTTAGGTTAGTTTTTGTTATAGTTTGAAAAGAAATCATACAAAGTTATTAGTTAGTTAGTGCACTTGGTGAGTATTTCTTAATTTATGTTGTTTAACAGAAAAAATAATTTTCATGTAAATGATAAGTTTAATGTAAGTATAACTAAATAAGCTATCTAGCCTTAAAAATAAAAAACCCCAACTAGAAATAGGTTCATCCCGAACAATTTTCTAAACTTGTGTGTTGTATTATTTATATATTTATTTATTTTTTTTGTGATGTTGCGGAAATACTTGAAACATTGTAGACATTATGACTAAGCTGTCATTGGATTGTACGGTTTCATAGTTTTAACAATATTCAGAAACCGAGCGAGAGAGAGAGAGAGTCACAGAGATAGTTAAGAGGATAAAGAATAAGATAGGTAGAATGGATAAGTTTGAAATGCAAAAATCTTTGCAATTAGATTAAAACACACAGAAATTATAATAAGACATTTGTCGCACTTACCTTAGTCTAATATACTTTAACCCACGAATAAAACAATCTTTTGCCAACTAACGTCAATTATTTAATTATTTCAACCCATTTTTCGAATACAACACATATTTTCCATAGTTAGATACCGTTAAAAATAAATTAAAAACAGAAAATGAATTAATAATAAAAAAATTCTAAATAATAGTTAAATGAGATCGAATGGAGGTGCATACTTCATAGATTCTTTCAAACGTTGCTTTCAAATTATATTCATTTATAGATTTAGAGTTTAGTTGAGCAGAGTTTACATTAGTTTATATGTGATAGTAAGAAGATACGATACGATCTTACGCACAGGAAACATAGCATACAGATAGATACACACATATAGTAGTGAAAATAGTCGTAGTAGTCGCAGTAGCATTCGATAGAGATAGATTAAGTTGGACAGTTTCATAGGCACTTCTGTATAATGTTTTGAACAAGTAACGATACAAATATACACACAAACACACATATAGTACTACTTCTGAGTGTGACTGTTGTTTAAAATTTTGTTCTATATTTATATTTTTTTTGTTGACAGCTGCTTCAAAAAAACGTTAAATACACTTAAAAAATAAAAAATGTAATTATGCAATGTACATAATGAAAGTGCTCATATAAATATATATGTATATAAAGAAAAAGGAGCGATACTGATAGATAGAGAGTTGTTATCCGCGACATTAGGTATTTTGGCGCTGCATATTGAATACAGCGAATATAGATGAAGGACCAGTTATATACATATACTAGATACATATGAGTACGAGTACTACATACACACATACATAAGATATTTTGTAGAGGTATGTGGCTATGGAAGTAGGGACAATCTCTGACTTACTTGTAAAATCGTCGAGCTCCTCCTGCTCAGCCTCGGCGGCCAACTCTTCGGGGGTCTTTTTTTTTCGCATTAACGGGTTGGGCTCCTCCTGTGGCGCAGCCTCCACAATTTCTTCCTTTTTCTTGATATTGTACTGCAAGATAGGTTATATATAGATATATATATATGATCAACTATGCTTAAGAATTCAGCCTGAAACTAAAAATGTAACGAACGTGTATTCAGTTATATTAACCACTGTAAATTGGATTCACTTATTAATTTTTTATTCCACTGTATACCATTATTTGCATTTGTGCTCGCGCTTCTTCGTTGTCTGGGTCCTCTGAAATTCAATCTGACTCCGTTAGGGAGTCGTTAAAAAAAAGGACTCCCTACTAGAGTCAATTTGAACTGCATGAGGAAACTCGTAGCGTATATGTATGTATGTATATATATATATATCTTTTTTTTTACCTTATCGCGTATGTCCTGTCTCATTTTCTCGCGTTCCTCTTCCATTTTGCGGTGTTTCTCCTTGCGCCGCTCCTCGGCCTCACGTATGGCCTCCTGACGCTCCCTCTCCTCCTCCTCTGCCTTTTCCTTATCGTCACCATCATCGCCGCCATCACCTCCTACCGCGCCTGCACAATGATAAATTGAAATCCGTATTAGCCTACTGCAAGATAATCTTTACTCTATTTATGTAGACTAAAGCGTATATTTACTGTACTGTAGGCACAAGTTGTCTACACTTTCAATACTGCTCTGTATTCTGTCTGTTTCAATCAAAATAGGTCATGACCAATTTAGCTTGACACTTTGACACAAAAGCAGAGATTACCAGCTCTACACAGTAATTATTTTTTTGTTTTGTTTTTTTTTTTTTTTTAATGTTTAAACTTTAAAGTTTATAAAAAGTTTATAAATTTATAATTAATTATGAAACTTATTGTAGGCAGAAAATTCTTACATTAAATTTATGAAGATATTTTTTTTTTTAAATTTTGCTTTTAAATTAGATTATTTATTTATTTTATGTATATTAGCTAAACTTGAATTGAGTCTCGGGACTAATTTTTTTGTTAAGTGTTGCCGTGCTCATCGGCGTAGGTTTGAGACTGATGTCTACGGCTTATCTGGGTTGTATAGAAAATAAGATTAGTTGGCCGGTAGCATTGAATGCGGCATGACGTGCCACAAAAATAGAAAACTGTCGCGGAAGTGGAATTGCTAGCAATTTCCGGTAATTTGTATGCGCTGCAACCTTTCAATCTCCTAGCCTCTAATCGTCTAAGGTCAGTTACAGTGCGAGCCAAGTTTACAGTTGGCCAAATCATTCGAAATTTATAGCTCGTGGCTGGCAGATCGCTGAAATGTTGGTGTCATTGTTTTGCGTGTTATGGTTAGTTGGCGCTTGCCACAGCGTATCGATTGTGGAACAGGATGTTTTGCGCTTTGGCCAAGAGCTCGAACAGCTGCTGAACACGACATTTTCGCCTTGCCAAGACTTCTTTGGCTATGTTTGCGGACGCACCGCGAATCAGACACTGCGCCTTCAACAGGAACAGCTGCGTTTTCAGCAGCTACTGCGCCTAAACAATCCCGATAAACTTCTGGCCATGGAGCAACAGCTGCTCAACTTTTACAAATCCTGCCAGAGCGGTCGCAGCCTGGACTCGCTCATGTCCACGCAGCTGTACAAGAGCAGCGGTGGCTGGCCTGCACTTGAATCCAGCAGCATTAATCAAACTGGACTCGGTTGGTTGGGACTGCTCAGCCAGTTCCATGAGATGGGAGCCCCGTATTTCTTCGAGACTCGCATCAGCATGCAGTCGAACAAACGGCTGGTCACATTGCAGCCAGATGTCACCAGGCGCCACACGTTGCGCAAGTTTGAGCAGCGTGTGGGCGAGCTGCTCCAGAGCTTCGGTGTCGAGCAGAGTCGGGCCCATATCGTATCGCTGGAGGTGCTCAGCCTGGAGCGCAATCGCCGCGATATCATTAAGACGGAGCGTATTGATGATCAGGTGCAGTTCAGCTATGCGAATTTCAAGCGATGCTCGTTCGGCAACTTCTCGATGTCTCGCCTTGATTGGGATGCCTATTTTCGCAACCTGCTCGGTGGCAAGATGTTGAAGCCCACAGACGCAATTGTTGTTAGGCAGTTGCCCCGCCTTGTAGACTATATTCAGCTATTGCAGAATACGAGCATGCATCGACTACTTAATTGGATTTGGATTGATTATTTGATAGGTACGTATACCTAATGTCTTAATAAATAGCGCAATGCTAGTCTTAAAAAGTCAAACTCTTTACTGAAATTTTGCTAGTTGCCAGCTGTAATGTACCTAGCTTTCTTAACTCCAACTTCATTTTTTACAAATACTTATATTATGTTGTTGTAGATATTGTAACCGCCGACTGTCAGCAGCTGGCCGACATCTATGCCGGCGATGTCTATGCGCATCTGCTGCAGCGCTTGAGCACGGATCGCGTACAATTGACACAGATGTATGCGAGCATTGGCAGAGCCTACAAGGCGCAGTTGGTTGGCAGTGTGTGGATAGACGAGATCTCCGAGCAGTCGTCAAAGCGGTTTCTGAGCCAGGTGATGCACATAATGCTCAATGGAGATGAGTACTTAGATGCTGCCTACCAGGACCTACAGCTGGGTCGTCGAAACTTCTATAGGAATATGGAGAAGCTGCGGCGCTTCCAACACAATCGACCGCCACCTTCACCAGCTGCGTTGCAGCTCCGCCAATTTGCGCGAGGCTTTGAGACCATCTATGGATTATTGCCAAAACAGCAACACCAGAACTTGACAGCACCGCTTGGCTATGTGCTGCTTGCGGAACGCTTTGCGCGTCATCTGGTGGCTGCCGGCAGCAGCAGTCGCACACCCGGCGCCTGGCGCAGCATGGACTCAGATCGCCAGTTCGCCCAGTTTGTGAACTGCAGCAAGACGGCGACCAACACAAATGCCCACGAACTGTTACTGAATACGCTGGCTCAGCGCCTGGCCGGTAGCAGCTACAGAGAGTGGCTGGGTCAGCAGCCTACAGCGAACAGAGTGAATGTGCTGCTGGCTGCAGGTAGGCTGCAGTTATCGCTGCAGCGCCTGTACTTCATTGGCAATCTGCTCATGGAGTGCCCAGAAGGACAGCAGGAGCATAAACGTCAGCTGCAGCACACGCTCTTGCGTAATACTCCCGAATTCAGCGAGGCGTTCAACTGTCGCTTCGGCGATGCACTTTATGTGCAGCCGCAGCCTTGCCACCTCGCTGAAAATCTTGCGCGCAACGTTAGTGCATAACAAAAATGAATCGAAGCAGATAAATGTGAGTGTATCAACCTTGAACTTTTTCTTTTTTTCCTGTGGCAGGAAATCAATAAACTGCAAGCACATGGGGTTGTTGGGGATTAAGTCAATTGATTTTTGCTTTGTTCGCTTCTTGTTTTTGTGGTAAAGAACATGTGTGCTTTCATTTAAATTGTTTAAGTGCATATGTATGTAAAACAAAGTTAATTTTTATGACTTACATTTAGCAGAGTACAGTTGTGTTAGTATAAACAGCAAAACACACACAGAGAGCGAGAGTGAGAAAGAGTTAGTTAGATAGATAGTGAGAGCGAGAGAGAAAGAGAGAGAGAACGAAGAGTTAAAATGAAATTAAAGTGCACACAACTGTAAATTCTCTTTTAGATTTATGATTTTTGTTATTGGTTTAACTGTTGTTTCCATACCAATGAAATTCATGATTTCGAGACGCTTTTAGGCCAATGCTATCTCTCCGTGCTGCTGGCTTTTGTGTAAAACAAGCGACTACGTCAAATGCAGGCACTGGTGTCGCTGCCGTTGTGGTTACGACTGGCCAGTTAGTAGCGTAGCCGCATCGCCGCTTCGCACTGAGAATGGCCAGGCCCCAGTCGTCCGCTGCAACTGTGACACACTGACGCTGCGCTTTCGTCTTCGTGTTCGCCGTCGTTTTGTTCGGTTTCGTGCCCAATCGACTTTGGCATCGTTTGCTGTGGTCCGTGTGTACGTGTCCATGTCTATCAAATCGATTTGCTCACACAGCGGCATAGAAAACGAACTGCGTACCCGGCCACGAGCGCACACGAACTGAATGCACAAAAATTGAATTTGACTGTTGCCGACTTTTGAGCGGCGACGTTCTGGGTTACGTCAGCAGCGTGGCTACGTGAGTGAACTTTATTCGCAGAACTGCAAAGATGGAGTAGGAGTCAATCCAACAGTTGCTGGGCTTTTTATGCCAAAGCGCCACTGTCGCTGTCGCAGTCGCTGCCGCAGTCGAAGTCGCAGTCGCAGCGATGGACCATATCGTATTTGACCCAAGTGCTTGGGGTTGACTCTGTTAACTGTTAACTGTGCGTTGTGCAGCGCCTGCGCAGGTTCATCTTTGAATGTGGCTGAGGCATTACCTCTGGTAACAGAAGCAGCAGCAGAATCTATCTTCGCAGTCTCGCTCTAATTATTGTTGTCGCACTCGGGCAACGCTGCCGACGTTAACGGCACTATTTGCACAGCCTCCAATGTGACGGCGCAAACGCAATAGAAAATTCCCACGCGTTGCTCTTGAGCGTTTTTCCTAGCTACCACAGGGGGTTAGCTGCTAGCTGTTGACCACATTTTTCTACTGCTGCGTTGACAGCGCTGCCGCAGCCGGTGCATGTCTCTGCAGATGCTGCTGCTAAAGGCAACGCACATTAAATTGAATTTATAGTCATCAATTTGCTGAATAGCTTCGTGAATTAACTTTTTCTTATTTTTATTATAGGGTATTCGCATTGATTTGTGTGGACGTCCATTTATTGTTTTCTTAAATCAGTTCAATGTATTTTATAATAAAAATTGATTGACTTCGCTCAAGCAAAATGATGTCAAATTGTTTTGAGCTAAGCAACCCATATACGCCGAATCAACCCTTAGTCAAGCTTCACCCTGACTCCAACCAACCGCTCTACGTTTGTTGCGCTTTTATGAGACTTTTGTAATTTGCTTTATGAACTTTATAAACTTCCTTTTATGCCATTTGACGCTTTCAGTTATTCTCCAGCAGCTCCTACTGCCACTTTACGTCTCTCTTTTATTTGTGCCTGTAACTGACTCTTAGGAGCACCTCTACATACATATGTATGTATATACCATTATGTATATGTACTGTACGCAAAATATGAATCGACTCTCCAAAGAAATAGCATATATATACATATATTCCTTCAATTAAATAGCTATATTCAGATATCATAATTGAGGAATACATTCAGATTAAATATATCGAATGCAATTGAGAGAAAAATTTATTGAAATCCTAAACCCTTAAACAAGCTAATTTTTTAAATAAAAATCTAAATGAAGGTTTGAAATTTCAAATCGAATAAGCTTCTTAAACTTGGAAATTCGCTCACAATGTTGGCTTAACAAAGTTTATTTTCCATTTAAGCTTCAAAACTCATTCATATTTTCTTTGAGTGTTTTTTATGTATGCGCGCTCTCCTCTCTCACTCTCTTTCTCTTATGTTTGAAGTTGTTCGCAACTCGTCGCAACTCAATTAAAAACTAATCAAGCCTATTGTAATATAATTATCGTGACAGCATAATTAACAGCGCTTGTTCATGTAGCTGCAATCTTCGCTTGGTCAGCCAGCTTTTCTTCATTTTCGTCAGTTTTTCTTCTTTATACATATATATAGATGGTCCAGGCCGATGGCCAATGGGTTGTCCATTACAAAATAACCAATATATGTAAAACCGACCCCTCGGAAGTCTACAATTGCGTGCAACATTTGCTTGACAGATCCACCCATATTTTTGTTGTTGTTGTAAGAAATCACTTTGCATCTAACACTGGGTATAGAAATTGGGTTTTCTTGGTAACAATTTTTTCTTTTTTATTGTTTCGGTTTTCCTGCGTGTCCTAGCCGTAATGAGGGTACTTAATACCTAGCCCTACGGCCAAGCTCTCTCGTTCTATACATTCCCTCTTTCTCTCTCTCTCTCTCTCTCTCTCTCTCTCTCCTCATCCCTCTTTTGATTCTGCCTAAGAGTTGTGGCCCCAGTCATAAGCCTGATATACGATCCAAAGACCTGATAAGTAAGACACTCGCTGCGTTTTATTGCTTCGAATGCTATTTTGAATACCAACACGTCAGGCGTCAGGAAGGGAGTGGATAGACGGCTGAATGGGACAGTGGGGGTGCCCCCTTGGAATTGTCTTAGGCTTTGCTGAGACATCTGTATATGGATAAGTGGATGAGGATGACTGCGAGCTGGTGACATTTATGCAACTTACTACGCGCATGCTGGGGGAATACTACATTAGAGTTCCATTTCCATTCTTATGAGAAGTAAGTGCTAAGAGAAACGTAAAGGAAGCGCAAGCCATTTGTGCGAGTGTCTCACACACCCATCTCTCCACTACACACTCTCCATCCTCTCTTCGTCTTCCACTCCCTCAGTGTGTGCGTAATTTTTTCTGTTCTTTTTTTTATTGCAAGGAGTTGCTGAAAAGGCACGAACGTCAAATTATTTTCTTTCTTAATCCGGTTCAAGACCGCCGAGCTTTGTTGCCCTCTGCCACCACACACGCTTCTATCGGGCTTTGCATCCGCATCTGGGTTAGAACTGGAGAAGACGGCGGCATTTACAAATGACAGGAAGTGGGTGTACGGTCTCGCAACGCTGTAACTTTTCTAAGATGCTGGCTTAAGCAGCTGAAACGTTGCCTAGCCCCCCACTTCGGCCCAGCTCAACGCTGCCACAGTCCTAAGTCGCTGGTTCCCCTAGAGCAAATGATTTCATTGTCATAGTCACTAATAGCAACTACCATATTCCCGACGTAATTATATCTTAACAGCCTCAAAGAGTCCTGGATATTTACTTATGGCTACACACCCACTTGTACACACTCGTACACACACACCCTTCACAATTTGGCCATGTACCTTTAAGTTATACAGATGTATATTTTGGCTTTAATTGTACACTTCACGAAAAAATATTGCATGCCGAAAGAATTAAAAAAAGAATAATTTTTCGTGAATTTGTATGGGCAATGAATTTGTAATGGCCATGGTAATGAAAAAGCCGATTATTGAACTTATTAGTAGTCGTAGGAAGAACAGTATTTAAACAAGCCATTTATTTAATAACTTTGAAAGCTGAATGAACAAAACTAACTGTCTAAGTCAGAAAAAATTGTTTTTTTTTTTATTCTGTTGTATTGTGTTAGCAGTTCAAGAAGTATTTGGACTATTTATAGAAAGTCAATGGTTTAAAGACACGAAACGATTTTAGGTTCTCTATTTCGTTGAGTGTATTTTCAGCGCGAGCCCTAGTATCCCTTGGAGCAGATGCTGTATCTTTGAGCTGTACCGCTGTGGCCATATGCGTGTGCATAAGTAAGTCGAAAAGTGGGCGTGTGCAAGTGTTATAATGTTGTCCTGTACTTGTGGCAAAGAGTGTCTCGTTCTTTTCCTGTGTGGGCCCCGTTTGGCCAAGCCTTGGTTTATGGCTCTTCATAATGACGCAAGTAAATCTCATTGCCATTTCGTTGGCTGTACACTCAATTCTTTTCTCAGTTCTTGAGCTATAGCAATTAGTTGTTAGCCAACAGCACTTGCACACACTCATACATCCACGCACGCACACACACACATACACTAGCACACCCACTCACATCTCTCGCCTCTTACGCAACCAGCGTCGTCTCTGTTGGGAATGTGCCTTCCATGTCGGTAAATGTTGGAAATTTGACAAAAATGTGGCCGCGTCTACAGCTCTGACAGCTGATAAACTGCATGCAAATATTTTTCGCAGTACAGATATTTAAAGAATTTTTAATATGCAGCATTTATGTGAGAGCTACGATCTTTACCCCGCTCTTTAACCACTCGCCACCACTCGCTTCGCCCATTAAATGCGTCATTTAGCACTTAGTTTTGTGGTCTTTTGCGCCCACAGAATTAGTTATGCAGCGCGACTGCCAGAACGTGCTAGTATGTCAGCTCCAGGCTCATTTTATTCGTTAACTGAGCTTGAGCAAATCAAATTTGACAGCTGTTTAGAGGATTTCGAGTCTGTCGTCTTTAGAATTAACATTTCTTTCTTGGGAAGCAAGCTAAATTAATTGCTTAAAAGACAGAAATCAGATTGTTTATTTCATTGTATTCAACAACATAAGTCTGAAATAACCATAAGTCAAATTCTAATTCTCTTAATATATTGAAAGAATCTCAAATGGTTCAAATAAAGTTATACTTTTCTTCTTTTTAAGCTTCCGCCTTATGACATTTGTTACCAATTGGAGCATAGAAATCAATTGATCTGTTTAAATAATGAATAGATTGGAAAGAAAATTGAAAATCCGCACCGTAATATTAGGTGGAGTTAAGTTCCAATTTTTCTTTGTGCTCGTCACAAATGTGTCTGACAAATTGAGAAAAACGAGCGACATTTGCATTTGGTACATCAACTGCAAACGTTGTGGACAGCTACAGCTATCTGTATCCGTGTCTGTGTCAGTATCTGCATGCATCTTTAGCCGGAGCTGTAGCTGTCATGTAGGTGGTGTTGTCTTGCTTGTTTGTGGCATGTGTTAAAATGTTTGCTCGCCAAAATACGAATTGAAAATGGCAACCTGGAACGGTATATGTTCAGTTCATATCCTACATCTATTGCAAATAGGCTACAAAATGGACGACATTATGCCTTGCAAATATTTCTCTATTATATGTAGTTTACATGAGCTAATGACTTTAAGTTCACTAAGTGTATAGTAGAAAGAGAATTTAAGTACTTAACTTTGAAGTACTTAATTTTCGGTCACTTCCGTCAAGAACAGATTATTTTTGGTTTTATTGTGTTATTAACAGAATTAGCTAAATATAGATATGGATAAGGGTATAGACAGAAATAGAGATATCTGTGTATATAGATAATATATATGGTCATAGATATAGATACAGATATGGATGTAGGATATAGATATACATATAGAGAGCGCATAAAGATAGTTCAGATAGTTCTGTGTTATATACATAGCGTTAATAATTACTTATACTTTACCTCATTGTAAATACGTTGTATAATAGTTGTAGAAATTGTTGTTGTTGTTGTAGTTAAGAGTAGTTTTATAGTAGTAGTAGAAAATAGATGATGTAAGTTGTTTTATTGTAGTTAGTATGGTTCCATATATGGTTGTAAGTACAGAGTAGAGTACGAGAGGTTGTTGTAGTTTTCATTTTTGTTGTTGTTGTTTTAGTAATAGAAGTAGTAGTAGTTAGAGAAGAAGTAGAAGTAGTAGTAGATATAGAAGCAATAGGTAACCAAAGATAATAAAATAGATAACATTTTAATATACGAAAAATAGTTCAATGCAAAATCAATATTCATATAGGTAGTATTTACTTTTTTTATCTTGACTTAGAAGAAACAAAAACTTCGAAGACAATGCTAACTATGCAAACCTTTATACATTTTTCTCAAGTTTGTTAATCATATGTAGTTAGTATATAGTACAAATGCTAGACAACTAAAAAATGTTCAGGTATTTTTGGTGGGCTAATTACAAAATTAACCAACAAATTTATCATTTTCTTTTTAAATTATTTGTCTTTTTAGTTAAAAAAGTTCGTAGGACCAAAGTTTTGTTATGCATAATTATCGGTACTAACGAAAGCTGTTTTTTTCTTGTGCAAACTTTTATTCGATTTGTATTTTAGAGAGAGAGAGAGCGCGTGAGTTAGGTATGTGCGCTAAGTTAAATAACTAAATTATGTATGACAAAATTATGAGTTTATTTTTATTCAATTAAAAACTAAATGGCAATATAGCCTAATAAATCGAGTAGAAACCGTTCTCTATAATCAAAATACCCACACAATATATGTATATATATTAAGAGTTTTATAGAGTACGATTGTATATGATAATAAATTCAGAATACATGTGGGATCTAATTTGAAATTTCGCAAAATTCGAATCCAAAATGCGTGTAATTCATACAAAACTTTGATTAGGAAATATAAAGAAACGAGATTATACTTTATATATATATATATACATATATATATATATACAAATATATATATATATATATATATATTTTTTTTTTTTATTATTTTTTTTATTTTTATAGTAGTGTTATATATAGGTATTATTTCTTGAGAAATTACCGCCTGCAGCATCTGTTCAGCGTGTGGGGTCGAGGAGAGTAAACGGTAAATATTCATTAATAAGCCTGCCTGTTTGTTGTCTTTTTAGATTTGGTATTGTATTGCGATAGATATAGTTACTAGATGGCTACATTTCTAAAGATATGAGGCATTAAGCAAGTCATGAGAGTATGAGATTATAGTGAATAGCTTGGCAAAATATATATAAAAAAAAGAGGGAGAAACAGCGAGGGGGTTATTATAGTTGATAGAATATAGTAGTAGTTAGTAAATAGTTTTGCTTGTGTAATTGTGATTTATTATTATATTGAAGTTTGTTTCAGTGCCGTTGAGTTTGAAAAATGAACTGCTTATGCGCGATATATATTAAAAAGTAAGTGTTGAAAAAGGTGTATTAAGTTGTGTTTGCAAGTTAAGAAAATGAGTAAATCGTAGAAAATATCTGTTAGTCAGCAAAATATGCGTAATTTTAGTTATATTACTTATTTTACTTATGACTGATTTAACGTTGAGAGCCTAAGTATTAATCGCTTCTGTATCTATTTAAGAATCAGAAGGGGAGTTCGTGTGAGATAAGGTTGAAAATCATCATATTTGTGTTCGTAGTGTTAAAAGATGCCGAAACTAACGCTAAATAGGCGTTTATTGCGAAGCGTATACTTAGAGTATTCATACTGAAGACTATTTTTTTAGAAAGTCAGCCCCGAGAAATATTCGATACTGAAAGTATTAAATTTCCGGCTTCGTCTTACAATACGAGTCATGACGAGGCGTGGAATTCATGTTAATATCAGAGAAAACAAAATAAATAAAAGCATGTAAAAAAAAAAAAAAAAATTAAATTAAATGAAAGAGCCTTATCAGAAGAAGGCAGGAAGAGATTGTAATAGAAGAAATTGAATTGTGTTTTTTTCTTTATATTTCGTATAAAGGCGTTGGCAGCTGTGTTCATTTTTTGTGTGAAGTGCATGAAAATTTCTAAGGATTTCTGTGCACTTGGGTATCGTTTTGAAGGTGGTTTTGGCTTTGGCTGTTTGTGAGTGTGTGTTTTTTCGAGTTTTGTATTTTATATCTTCCTGTTACTGGTGTTTGTCAAGCTCTTGTGTTTAGTGTGTGTTTTACAATGAGGTAAAGCTCGGCCGTGAATAGGTTCAGAGGGAAGAGCGTACAAATATGTAAATTTTATTTCATCTTTAAGTTGGTTGTGGGCGGTGTTCATGATTTGTGTGTGCGCTTAAGCTTAAATAGATTTTTATATAATATAATACGTAGTTATCAATTGACTTGTTAATGAAAACTGCCAGCCAAAAATTATTTCGGATGAAAGTGTGTGTGTTAGTAATTAGAGCAGTTTACCGAAATCAAAGAAATAAACTCAAAGGTGGGTATTCTTGAAGTGCAACGCTATGCTTAGGAGTTGGAAATAATACAAATAATATTTGTTTGATCTTAACTTCAATTTTGAACGAATCCATGACGCAAAATGAACAAGTCGATAAATATAGTCTAATGGTCTTTTATTTTCAATCATGCTTTAAGGCCAATCAATAACAATTTTCGGTTTCCTCATTCAAAACTGAAAGTCAGGCTCAAATCATAATCGAAATGTGTGCCGCATATATATATATATATATATATATATATATATATAATATTCGATATGGTATTGATATTAACTTATTTATAGATATGCTTATTTTCTTGTATGCAACTTACGCGCAGAGTACGAGCTCGACTAACTTGCACAAACCAAACGCTTACCTGCAAGAGAAAAGGAATTAAATTTGATTAAAATACAGTATGGCTAGTTGTTCTTGGAATACATTGTGCTCCATATATCATGGAGTTATTTGCTGTCAACACGTTTGATACATTTATTACGCTTATTTCCTCCCAACTGGACAAATCCATATATATTATCCTCGCATAAGACAGGCAATAGTAATAAAGGCTAACACGACAGCAACTCAAATAAATTCAACGAGTGTGCTCCACGAAGACGACAATGGAAACGCATTAGCTGTCCATGCTATGAAAGCACACACATACACTGTTATTGCTGTTATTGCTTTTGTCTAACAGGGCGGAAAATGTTTTACAGATTGAAAACTGTAAAGTTGAATTTCGAAACAATGTTCCATTCAGTTTCAGCTATTGGCCGGTCGTTGCAAAAATATTTTATGATTTGCTCCTTACTTTTATTATGCTCAATTGTAAGTGTGTTAAGAAATACATATATGACATTTTAGAGGCCACAAAACCTTATCGATTCCAGATTAGTCAAGTTCTGTCCTTCAAAAGTAGTATACGAAATTGAATTGAGGCTGGGCTTATCTTGTTTTTCAGCAAGTGTTGCACCTAATTGAGAGTTTATAAAAACTGCTAAACTTCTTGTCTCGATACCAATAAGTTATGATTGATATAATCTTATATTATGATATAGAGCAAACTCTATGCTGTGTACAGGATATCTTGTAGTCAGTCAACAATTGCTTATACAATTTTTATATAATTTTTTACCAATTGGAGCAACTGTAAGTGGCTGGCGACAAAAATGGAGGATACAGAGAATCTGAAGTTTTGTGGCTGGGTAATTGACATACATATGTGCGCCATCTTATAAGTGTACATATATACAAATATATATATATATATATAAATACAAATATATGGCACTTCGATTTGATTTCTCAATTTTTATGGTCATGCTAATAGCATTTTCATGTTTTTCGACCAGTCTATCAATGCCAACTTGCAGAGCCGCAGTCGACAGCTGAGAAGTCCGAAGAGGCAAGTGGCGTGTGGCATGTGGCATGTGGCAAGTGCCTGTGGCAGGTGGGTGGACAAGTGGGTTGGCTAATGATTCAGCTCGTCCATTCTCACTCTATCTATCTATCGAACTAGACGCCTATGCTCTGCTTGCTCCCACTCTTTGTAAGTGGTATTATGGCTGGGCCAAGTCATTGCCAGAGTTCTGTAAATTTAGCATCAATCTACGCAATTAACTGTATCAATTTGTTAGAACCACTTGGCGACGCATTCGTGCAGAATTTCTGCGCTTGATAAGAGGAAACCATTCGACCCGGGGGCCCGTCCCACTTCGCGTTGCAAATGGAAATGGGGTTGGGACTCGGCATAACCACTCGGCCTTTCGGGCAGCTGCACCAAACGCTTGCGAATTGCGAGAGCCTGCTTCATACCTAAAGCGACACAAATACAGACGCCTAAATACACAGATACACATTATATAGTGGCTATGTAAATGCTTGCCACATGCCATATGCTGCAGTGTGGCATGTCGCATGCTTTCAGTTGATAAGCGTTTTAAATAAAATATGCTAGCGGCGCGTTTTTGAAAGCATTCAATGATTTTCCAAGCGATTGCACAGCCAACGATTAAACAAAAGCAGCAACAACAGTTGGATGAGTTAGGACGAAGAGACTCTGGAGCTAGCTAAAAGCGTTAGCCACTTTCATGTGTGGCATGTTACTTGTACTTGCCTCCATCTACTGCGCTGTGCAATAGCTTGAAAGTGAATTATGTATGTTTATCGATCGGGTGTGCCAAAAATATATGTACGCATATATGTATGTGTGTATGTGTAGATATTCACCCCTTTTAGCTACCCATATTCATGTATACATGAGCATAATCATATAAGATCAATGTAAAGTCGCATTTAAGTCCGGTTGCTTAGTGATTTCAGTTTCTATTTACCTGCGATTCAGTTACAGATTACAGAAATAGAAAACAGCAAGAACTTGAGCCTTTATGAAGCTAATTAATTTAGCTCTCTGTGAATTGTCAACTTTTTAGCACGTATGTTAACTATTCGGTTATGTTTTGAATACTCAACATACAAATATCTTTCTGTGGATAGATATGCATAAATCCATTTACCATACTTTCTGCTCTTATTTCGATTTTCTTCATCTTATTTAATAATTGCAGTGTGCGCTTACTATGCGAACTTAATTTTTTAATAACTTTTTTGTGGACATACGATCTTCATGAAACTTTCGGATCGTAATTATAATCATAATATGCACTTGCCAAAGCACAAGTATTTGAATACGCCTTTTACAAACATGAGGGTGAGGGGGTGGATATAGGGGTGGGGGGTAAATTTTAAAAACCGAAATAGTATAAATTGCATATCAATATACATTCAAAATTTGGAGACTGTAGCTCGAAATATGTAGGAGACATATTTATAACTGATTTTCGATAAGGGTTTTTATCGATAAAAAAAAAGATCGGGATGAGTTTCGATTTTTAATGATAAACTTGATATCCGCGTTGTGAATACGGACAAGAATATATATATATGATCAAGAATATATATATACTTTGTGGGGTCTGCCACGCCTCCTTCTGCCTGTTAGATACATTTCAACAAAACCATTATACCCTGATTTCCCATTTTCAATGGGTTCAGGGTACAAAAATTTCAGTAAATAGTTGTTGGCCGGGAACTTTTGTTTCTAGATTTCACTTACCTTTAACGGCACTTAATTGGTTTCCAACCATCTGTTTCGCAATAAAAGCCGCCATTGTGTTTTATTACTTGCTATCGCTTGTTTGTTGGATCTGTGGGCGTGGATGCTGCTGCTGCTGTTGTTGGTAATGAAAGGTGCAGTCACGGTTCTCGTTGCGCCCAACTCCGCAACTGAAAAGAAAACCAAACTGTGAGAGACAGAAAAAAGCCAAGCAAATTAAATTGTGTTCAAACAGAACAATGCTTAGGACAGTGAGCGCCAGAGCTCTCCTTCTGCATCCTACAGCCAACTTGTTCTGTCACCTGTGCTAGTGGCTGTACCCCTGATACTTTAAGCCGATTAGCTTAAATGCCGCCGACTGTCCGAGCGCGCTTCTCGACAGTTCCCAGTTTACAGCTGGGCTCTGTACGTGGGAGTGTGTGAAGCACATTTCTGGAATTACTCGCCCAGCCCAGGCCAGCTCTGCCCATCACTGTCTTCCTGCCTGCCTACTTGCCTGCAAGTTGTATTAGTACACATAATCTAATATAATGAATGTGGGCGCAACAAAAAATTAAATAAGAGCTTCGTAGTTGCCTGTAGCTGGTGAATTAATAGTCGCTCACAGTTCAAATGCCTCGAGTTAAGCGGCTAAAAATGTCATCCATATTAGAAATTTCTTAACTCTCGACGCAAAAGCTTTACACGAGTACAAACACAAAATATATCAAATCTTCGGATAGTCTGAAGAAAGCCAATATACTTGTTTACTCAGCAGGAGCGAGAATCGAAAGAGAAAATTTGCAATTTTGCAAAATATTTCGGCTACGGATTATATTCATTTTCATTTTCATTTTCATTTGCATCTTCATCTAGTACCAGCGGCTTCATGGCCATGTATTAATATTTACTCAAATTGGGCTAACAAGCTTAAGCTAGGGGCGTGACTGGTATGGGAATAGGGCTGGGGTTGGGGCTGGGGCTGGGCTGCAACAAATTAAAACAACGCCCAGCTAAACGAGCAACCAAATTAGTTTGACATAAAAAGCATACAGCTGGCAGGCAGACAGGCAGAGCGAATATACAGATAGCCTGTCAGATCGTCAGGATGTACGGAGCTCAGGACTTGCTTTCCCTTCCAGTCTCCCCATCGCTTGCTGCCTGCCAGCCTGCTTCCTGCGCAAAGCTAATGAATTAAGCTGGCACTGCAAAGAATTTTTAGCTTTTCAGGCGCCCTGCGGCCACGCTTCAACAGAATTGTTTATTGGATCCTAGCCCAAACACCCAGCCCACACTTTGCTCCAGGACCCGCCGACAAAAAAAAAAAACAAGAAAGAAATTTTCTTTACAAAAATTTACTTTAAGCATACCCTATGCGTTAAATGCATTTGCTTCAACTATGTGAGCTATCAGACAGTGAAAAATAATTAGCAATAAGAATAAAGCTATATATATTCCAGGTCCAGTGGTTTCATACGACCAAATATGGCCACGTCAATGCAGCCTTTTAGGACTTGTTGCCGTTCAAAAACACGTCTCATATTCTGTAAACATTAGATAATTTCCTATTTTACTATCTACCTAGTGATTTGAGGAGTTGATATACTTAGTCTGCTGCTTAAACTACGAAATAGTAAGCGGTTTCTAATTTTAGATTCTAACTATTCGCTATTCAAAATGTCTGCATTTCTATATCTACACGGCAAGTGGTAATCGAGCAAACTAAGTGAGCTTCAGGCTGTTAGTTTACGAACTTTACGAAATTCACTCTAATTTTTGAAGCGAAGCTGACAAGTTGCTCGAAACAGAAGGGTTTTAAGAGCCTAGTCAAGGCTTTTCTGCTCCTACTATAAAATATGTAAATAAAAGGCGAAAATTTATGGGCTTCGTGCTTAGAATTTGATGGCGAAATAGCAAAAACAGCAGCTGCCGCTGTTTCAGGTGTGCCCCAACAAAAGCCAATTCGAATTTCTTTTGCTGGGCTATCCAATTACTTTTGAAGTTGTTTTTAGACTCATTCACGAAAGTGAAATGAGTGTATTGGTTTTGTGCAATGTTCGTCTTGCTGTCCGTACGTCTGTCCGTATGAACGCAATCTATTTCGGCGCTATTGAAGCTAGAGACTTGAAATTTGGAACACATACTCGTGTATATCTCTGATTTATAAATTTTACCGATCCGCCCACTAGGGGCGTGGCAAATCGGAAAATGCATTTTCCGATATGCCAGAAATCATGTTGGTTGAAGAGCTAGAAAGCTGGAATTTGGTATGTAGGTGCGCGTCGACCACCCAAGATCACGAGCTATGGCGGATATATCTCCGCCCATTGGGGTCGTGGCAAATCGGACAAAACTGTATCTCCAAGAGTTTTACAGCTAGAGCGCTGAAATTTTGCACGTCAGCTAATGTTATGATTCTATAAAGTCTAAAGACAAAATTATAAGTCTACGCCCATTAGGGGCGTGGCAAATCGGACCTGAAGATATAGTGCTTTTTTAAATTCTGCTATATTTTGGATACTATTGATGCCAGGGACCTCAAATTTTGTATATATACTCGGGCTGATCACCCAAGAGCAAAAATTTTGTCGGATATATGTCTGCCCACAAGGGGCGTGGCAATCCGCAAAAGTTTATATCTCCTAAAGTATAATAGCTAGAAGCTTCAAATTTAAATAGTTAAGTTACCAGTAAGTTAAGTTACCAGTAACCTCTTCTATCGATGACCCAAAAATAATGTTTACGCCTCTTTAGGCGTGGCGAGGCATATCGAAAAATACCCTGTAATTTTGACATTTTTTGAGGGTACGCATTCAAACTTTGTAGTTGGGGTACCGTTATCACGTTCTAAGAACTGATCAAAAATGAGGCAAATCGGAAAAAACAGTATTTTCTTCAGTATTAGAGCGAAAGTTAACTACTAAATTGTTGATGGGATGTGAATGAGTATTCCGCAGTCGGTAATGCCCGACTGCAACGTTCTTACTTGTTCTGATATGAAAAACTAAAGCCAATAAACACGCAAATAAGCCATGTTGAGTTTTATTCGTTCCCATGACGTCGCAGTAAGTGGGGCTCCTTAACAGGAGGACGGGGTCAAGGGGTCAGCAGCGATATGTTTATACGCGCCCAAATCCAGCCCAAATCCCAACGTCAAGTAGAAACCCCTTTGCCAACTGCGGCTCACTTGTATAATGGAGCAAATCAAAACATTTCGCTGGCTCAAACTTAGCATAGGCCTGACTGAATCGAAAGCAAGAGTGACGATATTAACAATAAGCAAGGTATTCCGAGGTCACTGGAAAGTCCTTTTCCAACTATTACAATAGCCATTAAGCTTTTAATTGGAAGAAACTTGCCTACCTTTTCGAGAGCTTAACAAGGGATAGATCAGGAGTTTCATAACTATTCTTACGAACAATAATTTATATTCGGTGTTTCCTTATCAAAGTTAGCAGTTAATTTACGATATGTCCTTCTTTTGAGAGAAATATATATTAAGTATATGTAGCGTTCTTTTGCATTTCTATTTTTACGTTTGATAAGCTATTTTCTAATAAAGATATGTATTAAGTATACGTGTCCAATAAAAGCTAAATGTAATGCGAAATCATATTCCTATAGGGTATATAATGAGCACAAAAGTTTTCACTGCGCAACTGTTTGCTGAATTGGTAGCTCAAGATCAGGAATCTTGGAGCTTACCTTAAGAGTAAGACGCTATTAAGTTTGAACAGCACAAACCTTGTCAAAGTTAACTTTTGGGGCGAACTTTTTTAACAGTGAACGTGGGCACAAATCAAAACTTTTCATTAGGTGACTATTAGCTAAATCGGCAGGGGTAAATCAGGTGTGCACTGCGGTGTCTGGCCTTTTCACGCATGAAAATGCGCAGAGTTTATGCAGAGTTTTAGTGAGTTGCCTGCTTGAAGCGTACTTCTCACATACTTTGAACGCTTTGAGATACTTTTGAGATACTTGTAGCTTCTTTTAGATACTTTTCAGCTGGGCATCTGTGCATTCACTTACCTACTGTTCCGTAAATATTCCGCTTAGATTTGCGTGTGTTGATGTGCGTGTATATTGTTGTTGTAGATGGTGTGATTGTTGTTGTTGGTGATACAGTTGTAGTTGTAGATGTAGTTGTAGTGGTCGTTGTTGTAGAAGTAGAAGCAAAGTTTTAGAAAGTTGTTTGTGTTGTTTTTAAAGAAATCCTCTAAGAAAAGCGAGCATCAACAGAAAGAGTTTGCTGCAAAGTAAACACAGATAAAAAGATCAAAAATACAACTGGATGAATTCACTGCTTCACAAGATAAAGCCAAAGAGGCAGAGAAAGAGATATAGAGGGAGAGGGAGACAGAAAGAGAGAGAGAGACTGAGAGAGAGAGAGAGAGAGAGAGAAAGACGAATGGTTGGGTAGATAGTAGATAAAAAGAGATCGCGAAACAATTTTAATGAGTTTGCTTTGGGGGTCAGGTCTATTGAACGCAGAACCTATTGACATTGCAGCTAATTTAAACAGAAGCACGCAAACACATACACATAGACTTATACACACAGAGGCAGCCTTTTGTGTGTGTCTCTTTACTGTTATTCAAGAGTATATTGTTTTGCAAGGGGTAACTTAGCTGTGTTACGAAATTTCTGACTGTGTGTGCATCGAATTGCTGAGTACAGCCAAGTCATTTTCGCCATGAAGTTTTTGCCTTGTATATATATGAAAAGTGAAAGTTATGAGTTCCTGTTCTGAAGTTGTGTAAGTAATATACATAGATACAAAAACGAATTAGCATAGAAAGAATCATATCATATGTGAACTCTACATATGATGTACATGTAAGTGCGGAAATGATGTCAGGAAGTGAATTTAATATTCGGCGATGTCGTATACAGTTATTTGTTTTGTTCATATGTGTGTTCGTGTTTTGTTGTTTTTATCGATATTTCTTTATTAGGGTTTCTTTTATGTGAGCGTGCACGTAAGGGCCCATTACGAGACTGAGCCAGGCGTGTGTGCGGCATATAAGCAGACACATACAAATACAAACACATATACAGACAACATTTTTACGTAACAATCGTTGTAGACAACTCTGTTTTAATCAAATTTTTAAGAACTTCGACACTTTTGGCCTGCTGATTACATAAAAAAGCCATCGCCTCGCCGATCAGCAAGCAGCTATATAAGCAATATAATTGTATATAATTGAATTAATTTCTTTATTCTTAATCGATTTGTAAAAGTTGTGTTTGCGGGTTTTCCTTGTATATCTGAGTATTGTATTATTATATATCTGTTAAGCGAGTGTTGATGTACACGCACAGGCAGACACATATACATATGTCTATGTAAATATATATATATATATATATATATATATATATATATATATATATATATATATATATATATATATATATATATGCTACTTTATTTTTCTCTTCTTTTTATTCAATACTTTTGTGTGCACTTTACTTTCGTATTTAATACGGGCGCTTCTTACTTCATGCTATGTTCGCACTCTTCTGTGTCGCACGGCTGAGTCGCCTACATGGAAAACTCGGGCCTTTACGGCGCGCAGCGAGCAGAGCAAAGCAGAACAGAGGCAGCCAGACAGCCAGCTGTAGGCAGCTGCGCCGCCAGCGTCGACGTCGCAGCCGAAACGGCGCCTACATTTACAACAAAAACCGACAAGCAAAAGCGCTCACTTACACGATTCCACTGGTAGCAAACATTTTTGCCAAAGCTTTTAGTAATTTCCCCACCTAATGTTTTGAGTGAGTCCCCACTAGCTGTGCTGCTCTAACACATAACGGGAGCTTGGGCTGATTACTTCAATACGCTCTTCGAGTAGGCTCAACGAAGCGCTTCGCACATGTATGTACATTTATGCTATTGAGCGTTTGTGTGCGTACATAATAGCTTTTAGCTTTTTAACTAATAATATATTTATTTGCCGTCGCCTTTCATCTACTTTTATTTGTATTATATAATTTGTTGTACGAACTGCTTACACTCGCGGGCATTCTCTTTTTTTCTCTCTCTTTCTCCTTCTCGGTCTCGTTCTCGTTCTCTTTTGACTTTTTGACTTTGAAATAAAAAATGTTGCCTACTTATTTGAGGCCGGCGCCTGCGCCACGCAAATGAGAGAAGCCCGTCAGGGAATGTTGAGTTTTACGCTAAGCATTACATATGGGCAAATTATGCGTTATTGATTTGTTGTTGATGAGATAGCCTGCCCGCAAAGAAAGAAAAAAAAAACGTAATAGAAGTGATGTACCCAAATGGCACTGATAAGCACAGCATATGGCACACACAGCTGCGAAAGAGTTATGCCTGACGCCTTTGTTCTCCCTGTCACTTGCCATTAGCTTAAACACCCTCATACTTACACACACAAAAACACATACACATACAAAGCTAACTTTGTGGTTCAGCGGAAACGCACAGCTTGAATGTAGGAAATTGCAAAGTTCTTTGCCACGTCTGCTGCTCAGTGGTCAGTGCATCAATTGCCTTTAGGGTGAAGTGTCTGCCTGTCTGTCGCATGAATTCTAATTAGTCTGATATAAATCCAACAAATGCTCTCCAACTTTATTGTCTTGCACTTTATCAATTATAGTTTCTTTGTCTCTGCTTTATATAGCAATCAATTATATTTTCTTTTGCTTCTATTTATTCTCCTCTTTCTTTTTGTAGCCACAAATTGCTTATTACCGTTGAGCAGCTCCTCACCTCTGGCTACCTGTGCTAGTTCTGCTTGAGATGAATGTCACGTTCTGGCCCTAGGCGAATTGCGTTTTCCCCTGGGTAATGAGCGGGCAACGCGGATGGCGCTTACTTTGTTTTCAGAGCGGGCTTTTCATTTTATTTTATTCGTTGATATAAAATGTAGAAAAATTTGTGCACTTGTATTATTAATGGGCCGCAGCGGGATTCGCTTACCTACAACCGTTGAAGGCACCGTTAAACACACTATGCCACAACAACAACAACAATTTTTTTTTTTTTAAATTACTATCTTCTTTCGCACTTAGCTCTGTTCGCGGCGTGACAACAACAAATCTTTTTCGCCACTGGCATACACAAAAACCATTTTTTTCGAGCCCAACTACAACGAAAATACCAAATAACTGTTATTCACTGCACACAGTTTACAATTCCAACATGCAAAGAGCGGACAACTAGCGTGAGCTTGAATATGCAAGCGACTGAGTGAGAGAGAGAGAGAGAGAGAGCGTGTGAGAGAGAAACTGTGCTTTCTAGCAGTTACACGGCTGCCAGAACGAGAGCAGCCATCGAGTGGCTCTCAATTCAGTCGCCAACTAGTGGGTTGACTGGCTGACTGGCGGGCTGACTTTCAGTTTTGACAGTTGACCCCAAACGAAAGCTCTTGGCCGAAAAAAGCTTGCTTTAAATTGGCTAGCTGAAAAAAGGCTGATAGTGCAGCAATGCGACAATTATATATATTTTAACTCTTAAATGTATTTGCCAGGTGCTTGTACAGGCAAATTGTTGGCTGATTACAAATACGCGGAAATGGTAACCGGCGACATCTGTGTGTGTGCATGTGGGAGTGTGAGTGTTTTCTTGTTTATCGTCTGCTTTTTTATATAAATGTTCCGCTTGTAAATTTTTAGCACACGCACCGGAAGCTGTCGAGCGTACACGAAGCGCTGATAAAACAGACTAAAGCCAGGCTGTCTTGCTTACCCCCCAAAAAATAAACGAAAAAGTTACTGAATTTTTTACAGGCGAGGTAGCAGCTCTTGACTCACACACACATAGACAGACCCATACGCAGAGAATGTGCGCGCGCTTTGCGCCTACATTTGTAACTAATGTATGTGTGTGTATGTGTGCTGCGAGCGGGTAAGAGGCGTATAGGTAATTTATATAAATTATTTAATTAAGCCGTGTACGTCAGCACGCGGCGCAGAGCCCATTATTTAGATTAAAATCAAACCCATTACGTTTTATGCCAACTGTCTTTAGCGCTTCCTTCTTCACCCTCTCTCCCTCTCACTATCTGTTTCCCCCCTCTCTCTCTCTCTCTCTCTTCCGTTAACGTCTATTGGTTTTGTTATGATTGTTCTTGACATTGCCTTTAGCCGCCCCTCCCGTGTTGCCTATGCCACCTAAATTGGCCACATTTGGAGCGTGCCTATGGTTTTCGGTTTTGTTGGAGAATTTTAAGACTGATGAGAGAAAGACTGCTATTGCTTATGCAGGATATTTCCTATATATATATATATATAGGACAAATAAATATCATTATCATTTTATAATTATCATTGACTCAGATCCTTAATATATGAAGATTTAAGATATGATATTTATATATGTATTTTTAAACTTAAATTTATTCTGATTTTCATCTTTAAACAAAATACAAATCAGAGGTAATTCTAAAGTATATATTTATCTTAAATATATTGTGTAAAATTTTAAAATAAGAAACTCATTCGGATTAGTATTCAATTTCACTGCGCATATTCTATCTCTCCTACAAATATTTATTTCATATTCCATTTTATATTGTCTTGTAGCTGGAAAATGATTTTGCTTTGAAACGCGATGCCATTGAAAATGCAATGGAGCAATCGCACTTAGCGTTCGAAATTGATTTCTTTTACAATACCAAGCCAAATGATAAAGTTAATTTACCCCTCACTGGTATCTGCAAGCTGAAAGCCATGATATTTAATACAAACTGCCCGACCCCTAACCGCCACCCCTCCCCCCCTATCCAGCCCCTCATTTCCCTGGGGCGGCATACACTTGGCGGTCGTCGTCAATCAATGTGAATTCAAGAGCTGCCGCAGCCGCAGCCAAAGATGACAACTAAACTTCACTTCAGCCGCAGACAAAATGTCATTTTTTAGGTGGGTAGAGAGCGGCGGGGCATGAGGCAGCAGAGGCGTGGTCGGATGTACACGGCGGAGTGGCTTAATTTAAAACGGTTTCATGTTGTGATTTTGACAAATGATAATTTTTTTTGCATGCCTTGCTGTATGTGTGCGCGTGTGGGCGAGTGTTGCAAGCAGGCTAGGTGTATGTGTGTGGCAGGCTGTGTGCGATAGCTTTTGTGTTTGCTTCGTCATCCCAGCTATGAGTACGATATCTCTGCCTCCCTTTGTATGCTGCCTTTTGAGTCTGTAATTTTGTAGTGGTCGATGAGTTGGCACAATGCGCGCGACAGATAAACGATAGCTGCCCCAGCCCCACTCGTAGCCCCTATCCCCTATCCCCTGAGCCCTATCCCCATTTGCAGAGTGTGTCAAAGGGTCGTTAAGTAAGTAAGCTGCCACACACACATACACTCGTACCTATACACACTCAGACATTGATATAGTACTGAGAAAAGTTTCAGTTTCAGTTTCAGTTTTGGTAGATCAAAAAACTATGTACATCTGGACTGACTGCTACATGCGCCAATCTCTCTCTCTCCCTCTCTCTCTCCCTCTCTCTCTCTCTCTCTCTCTCTTTCTCTCTTGCTGTCTCTATTCTTTGCCTGTGTTTCGCAGTACTCCCCTGGTTACAGCCTACACGGATATACATTTGAGTCCTGCTGCAATGGACAGCGAAACGGGCGGCAGGACAAGCAATCAACAGCTAACAGCCACCAGCAATGTTGCAACAATTTATTGATTTAACAACCGAAATAAAGAGAAAATTCATATTGCTCGGGTATCTCAAATTTAATGCTCTAACACTCCTTATTTCGGGGCGTAAACTGAAACACAGAAAATTTTTCAACGAAAACTGGTTTTAATACAAACGGATTGATTCGTGTTTCCATGCTGGATATTATGCATGAAGAAAATTATTGCGCTACAACGTGAAGCAAATGGTTAATGGACTCATTGGAAAGCGTATAAGAGAAGGGCAAGCGAGCTGAATTGCGGGCAAAGTTAAATCGACAAAGCCAATTTCCTTGATTTTTGTTGTTGATGTGTGTGTTTCTGCTTCTGTTTCTGTTACTATTGTTCCGTTTCTATTGACTTTACCGGGGAAATAGAATTGGGAATAAGAATCAAAGCTAAGCCGGCTCAGTCGGCATATTGGCGAATTGTGTGCATATACGGCTTGCAGCATGTCCGAAAATATAAACAACAATAAGGATTCGTGCCAGCCAGAAAACACGAGCAATAAAATTGCAATCCTATCGAATTCGATACCATCACTTCCCATCGAACCCCCATTCCTGTTGGTGGCCGCTTGGCTCGGTTTCGAGGCACGCATCTCGAAGCAGACGGTGAGCAGCGTCTGCATCGACTGGACACCGAGCCCGGAATCCGTTTCTGTGTTCAGCATCGAAAAGTTCCACAGGCGACACGGCTGGCAGCAGGTGCTATGGGCGAGCGCGAGTCCCCAGACCATCCACCATCTGGAAGAGAATTTCGGCTATCGAATACGCATCCGAGCTCTACGACCCGCTCCGGATGGCAGTCAATACGAAACTCTGGCCATTTCACCGGACATCATTGTAAAGCGCTGATTGCTCTTTTTATATATTTAAAATATTTTAGTGTAGTCGAGCCTCTTTTCAAATTTTTTTTCCTTATAAAACTTTTAAAGAAATCTCAAAAGTCGTTTGAGGAAATTGTGGTGTAAAGATTAAATAAAGCTCGAGTATGTTTGCATACGGTAATCAGCTCAACACTTAGGGCCTTGAGAATCATAGAACATAGAAAGGCATTATCTATTTGTATACGCATACGCTAATTCATACATACTTATAGATATATGTGTATCACTTTTGACCACAACTCCTACAAATTGTCAAATGATATTGAAATCTGAATCATACATGCCGAAATGTACATATGGCCACATGCATGCATGTGCATGCAATGCGCATAAATACATTTAAGTGTAGGCTATTTATACCCTGTAGTCACTACATTAATTACAGGTATTAAGTGATATAATGCTTTGTAATAATCTAGGCAACCACGGAAGCAGCGCTACCATCCACAAACTGTTTGTATCGAGCTATTCGCAAGTCGCAGCAATTTTTGGTCAAGCGCATGCTGCGCCGACGCCCTAGCCTGGTGGACTATCCCGGTCCGAACGGATATCTCCCGTTAGCAAATGCCATTATTCAGGGCGAGATGTGCGTAATTGATGTCCTCCTCTCGGCTGGCTGCAGCGTGCATCTGGGCAATCCCCACAACAAGCGCAGCCCGCTGCATGTGAGTGGAAAGGATCACTTGGGTCGCTTCCACTAATCACTCGCCTGGTCATTGCAGCTGGCATTCTATCATGGTCATCTGCCGTCGGCCCGTATTTTGCTGAACAAAAAAGCGCAGCTAGAATCGATTGACTGCAATGGAATGACACCCGCGCACTGCGCCGTTGATGCCAATCAGTTTGAAATGGTGAAGTTTGCGCTGGAGTCTGGCGCCAACCTGGAGGCAAGAGATGCTTGCGGCTGGACACTTCTAATGCGGGCAGGTAACTCTTAGAAATGGCTCTTCTTTTGTACACACCATATATTATGTATATGGTACTTGGTCACTTCAAAGTCAAACAGCTTTAGCCTTAACCGCCTTTCATTTACACCCCGCAGTGGTCATGGATGCTGGACTGGAGCTTATCAAGCTTTTGATAACACATGGAGCCGAGCTCGGGGCTCGCGATAGCCTAGGCAAAAGCTGCTGCGATTTGGCCAAACTTTATCGCCGGCAGCAGGCAACGGATTATTTCGACAAGGTGCAGGAGTTTCGCCAGGAGCAAGCAAAGGCTGCGCAAGCTTTGGCTAACACACCACCACAATCCGGCCAAAAGGATTTAGTGCAACCGGCCGGCTACCAGGATGAAATCTGTCGAAGAACGTGCTAATGAATGTCCTCAGCTCAGCACATGGCATACCCTAGCTAACTACTTGCAGATAGGTATGTTACATCATTAATTCGAAGAACACTTCATACTTCACTTTTCAACAATTATATACATATCAATATTACAAAGTGTATACATGTGTAATGTTAATGAATTATACTTGGATTATAAAAAACATTAGGCTTTAGATATTATTTTAAACACAATTTCTTGTGATTTCCGTCTGATAGCCACAAGAGTAAGTATTAAAGAAGTCCGCGTTTTCCTTGAGACCCAGGTAAAAAACGTGCTCAGCCAACTCCTTGCCAAACTCACAAAAGTTCTGGGCGAAGAGAGTGAAGAAGATTCGCTTGTTACTCAACTGGTAGTGTCGAAGTATCTCGTTTTCTTGGTCGTAGATCGCGCGATGCTTTGTCGAGGACTGTATCCAATCGCTATACTCTTGCCAAGTGTGCCTAAAGCTCTTTAAATAAATGACAGCTAACATGCGAGCCTCGCTTAGCACGTTTACGTACTGGGGCAGCTTGAGGCATTCCGCCTCCTCCCGGAAGTGCGTTGAGTCCCGTTGCCGCTCGCTAATGTTAAACATGGTCATGTACAAATGCACGGTAAACGTAGGATAGAAGTATGACATGGGCTTGTACCGACTCTGGTACAGATACAAGCTCCAGTCGAGCATCGTCCGCTGCACACCCAGCTCGAAAGTAGAGTTACGCTTCCGATGCATTTCGAGATTCCGCAAATTGTGCTCGTAGCTCTCGCGATAGATGCGCAAACCGGCGTACTCTCGGTTCAGGTCTCCGGCATAGAAATATATACTGGGCGTGGCAAATTTCTCCTTATAGGTTTGTAATCGGTTCCTTAATGGATGGGAGTCGATTCCAAAAACTGATTTACTGCGGTCCACAAAGCGTTGGATTATATCCCGAAAGTCACGCAACTCATGCGAGCTGCCTTCGATCAGGTCTTTGGTAATGATGTAGCCAAAGAGCGGTTTGAAGAACTCAAATGTCTCGCGATAGCAGTCCTGCAAGGACTTCAGGGTGTTGCACGATATGAAGAAGTCGATTAGTTTCTGCTTTGCTTCAAACTGCTCCGGATCGTTCTGAAGCTTAGTCAGCAACTGAATGAGATCGTTGCTTGGCGGCATGTGACCTGTAGGAGATTTAATAGTTCAATGGCAAACCAGCTAAACTTATGATAGGCTTAATATATAATTAGGTATCCAATATATTTGTACCCACCCATAACCGAGAAGAGAGGACGATTGCGACTGCAGACGTGGTCGTAGTAGCTGTCGCAGGCGTATTTCTGGGCATTGATAGAGTGCTCCATGCGCATAGCCAACTGGCTTAGTTCTTTGATGCGCAGCTCGGAGAGGTGGCCTGTGTATGCAATCTGTGCCTCCGCAGCGCCCAAGTAGGCGCAGAGGAGAACACACAGTGGAGCAGTCCACATCTTTCACTGTTGCTTACGTTTGATCTAAGGGTTTTGCTTAGTTTCAGCTCTTCTCGCTGTTGTTCCCTCAACGCGTATTCGAATACACTAAGCCTCGAGCTGTATAGTCAGCTATGTCGATGGCATCCGCCGTTGCCCAAGCTCAAGCGCTGATAAGAGCTGATGTCGAGTGGTATCAGCAGCAGTTCTATTGCTCTCCCACTGCTTGGATGACTTAATTATACCCCTTACGAAAAGGAAAATTGAATAAGGTATTATGCTCCATCTATTGTACTAAAACTATGCTATGGACTTGTTATTGCACCAGATCTTAAGTCAAGCCCAAGAATTAGGGCAATTTAGGGACCATACATCTATTGGTGATCACTATAGATCATCCAATTTCCATTCTAATTATGGGTTGCCCATTAACATATCTGACACAATTGAAAGTCATTGTTTCGTGATTATATATTATTGTATATTATTGTAAAGTATAAAATTTATTTTCAGCGAGTATAGGGAATCTACTAGTCTCACCTAAAAATTTAGTGCGTCATTAAAAGTTGCTCACATTTTCAAGACGCTTCCCAGTTTGTAAATATTCGCTCTGGCTTGCTCGTATATATCAGTGCGCCGCTGCTTGTAGATGGGAATCTGGCGACGCACTTCAACCACTGTGTCGAAATCTATTGAGAAATGGGGCACTTAGTAGGACTCTTCGCATATAGAAAACCACTTACCAATTGTTTCTACAATCAGTTCATGTCCCTGGCCCGCCTCGCGCAGCACTCTAGCCCAGGGATCTACAATCATCGAGTGTCCGTATGCCACATAGCCGGACATGTTGTTGCGGGCGGGAGCGCAGGTGACCACAAACAGTTGATTATCCATCGCACGGGCTCGCTGCAAAAGCTCCCAGTGCATGGGGCCCTGGCAGATGCAGAAAGCCGAAGGATAGACAATCATTGAGCATCCTATAGCATTTACATATTTACATATATACATATATGTATGTACATATATATAGAGTATAAGTATAATATTTTTTAAAGGCTTATCATAACAGAAGCACTTACCCATAATGCGATAGAGACGCGCCAGCTCCTCGAACCGCTTGTCGTGGCAGATGCCGATGCCGACTTTTTGCGCTCCGATTTGCACCACAGTCAGCTCGTTGCCTGCGATCAAGGCATCACCCTCATCGAACTGCACACCGCCGAGCTGTTCCGTTTCGATGTTCATATTAAAGAGATGCAGCTGAAAGCAACAGGGGGAGGCTGCAGATCTGCTTAATTATGTGCAATGCTTTTACCTTCCGATGTCTGCCAATTAGCTGGCCATTGGGCGCCCAGACAGTGCACGTGTTGTACAGCATATTGCGGGCATCCCGCTCAATTATGCTACCGCCAATGATGTAGATACCCAACTTGCTGGCCAGCTTGGACAGCGCCTGACAGGTGGGGCCATCCGGTACCGGTTCAGCATGCCGCCTGAACTCTTCAACGCTGTAGGGGCCATTGAAGCTCTCCGGTAATATGGCCAGTTGTAGCAGTGGATTGTCAGCTTTTAGCTGCGTTATGCTTTCCAGCGCCCGGCGCACATTATTCGCCACGTCCCTGCCTACGGGTAGCTGCAGCAAACCCAGTGTGAGTTCTATTTACAGGTACAGATTTTAATTACGACTTCAGAGACTTTATACGTTTTACTTACTGTTACTCATCATATATTTTGTATCGCTCGCTCGTTTCGAGTTAATCGCACAACAGTTGCCAATTGACGACTTGTGCAAAACGTTTTTCCCATTTTATAGCTCGGTTTTCCAATTCACCTATCTGGACCTAACAGCCTTGTCATACCCTGAACCCATTGAAAATGGGAAATCAGGGTATAATGGTTTTGTGAAAAAGTATGTAACGGACAGAAGGAATCATCGCAGACCCCATAAAGTATATATATTCTTAATCAGCTTGACGAGCTGAGTCGATATAGCCCTGTCCGTCTGTCCGTCCGTCCGTATGAGTGCGTCGATCTCAGAAGGTTTAAGAGCTAGAGAGCTGAAATTTGGCATGCATACTCGATAACTTTTTTATCGAGAATAATCGAAAAATTTATTTTGTTTATTCAGCCTAATTTGAACATTTTTAAATCTAGACACTTCAGATTAACTTTGTATATACAGTTTATCGATACGAAGATTTTGTAATTTACAGATTTTGGATACCACGCCCCCTTCGCCCCCCAAGTTGTAAAAAACGCATTTCAAGTACTAGAGACTTGAGCTTTGGAATGTACACACATTTTCACCATACGATTACGCTCTGAAAGTCCATTAAGATTTTACGTCTACAAAAGAAATTATTCAACAAATAAATTCTCATAATATTGCCCACACTGCAGCGTAGCCCAAGCGCATATTGCGCAGTCAGAAGAGCACGTGATTATACGTGCGTGGGTTCAGGGTATATCCTAGTCGAGCAGTCTCGACTGGAGCTTTCTTACTTGATTACTTGTGTTATCAATCGAGATTCGATTTATATTTTTATACCCTGAACCCATTTTCAATGGGAAATCAGGGTATAATGGTTTTGTTGAAATGTATGTAACAGGCAAAAGGAGGCGTGGCAGACCCCACAAAGTATATATATTCTTGATCAGGGTGACGAGCTGAGTCGATTTGGCCCTGTCCGTCTGTCTGTCCGTCCGTCTGTCCGTATGTTTGAACGCGTCGATTTCCGAAGATATAAGAGCTAGAGATTTTAATATTTTTTTTTCAAATGACCGTATATACAGCGCGGACGTCGAGTTTGCTTTTAAAATTCGATAAATCATCCCGTTATGTTTTTATCGAGTAAAAACATTCAAGTTCAAGTCAGATGCCACTATAGCTAATTGTGAATGACTTTTCATTTTTTTAAATTTCTCAAATATTCAATATAATATGTAGATCATATGCTGAAAGTTTCATTAAATTCCGTTGAGTCAAAAATTAATTAAAAATCATCAAATATTTGTCCAATTAACAAACGCACGTGCAGCAGCTACAACAGCATTGTATGCGTGTGCATACATACATTCAAACTTCTTCTAGAACATTCTTTGAAACACATCAGCTGTTAGTTTCGTTTAGTTTTGGTCGCGGTTCGAGTGCCGATCGGTGCAACTAATGTTAATTTTTTTAATTGTTTCAAAATATTTTTATATTTTCATAAATGAGTTTTCTATTTAATTTATATTTTTAAATACATCGAAATTGAAATTTTAGCCATACTAAATGGGCATTTTTATTTGTTGGGTTCAGGGTAGTATCTAGTCGAGCACTCTCGACTAGAGTTTTCTTACTTGTTTTTATTGTATTTCAATGTCCCCGTCAAGTATTTATAATCAATAGAAGCCTTGTTACACAGAGACAATGCACATACACCCTGCACCCAAAAGTATTTATGAAGTGTAGGCACGAGCATTTGTCAATTATTTTCTACGTTTAACGTTTATTTATTATGGAATATATTTCAGATCCCACAAAAGCGTATTCAAATTTTTATATAGCCTCCAGCTTTTAACAAATACAATATGTATATTTAAATTACTTATTTATTTGAGTTTATTTTTGCTTTGCGTATTTTACTCTATCGACTGAATCAGCGTTATAAACGACATGGCAGCCCGAAGAATCTGTATCAAATCAAAGTAAGTTATCAGATGCACATTGACACCAATTCAATCTATTACTTACCCCCAGAAAGTTGGCCAAGGAAGCCTCGTAGAATCCCGCCTTGATGAGCACCTCCCGTTGAGAGCGATGCATGATAAAAATCAAGAAACGTCTTTGTGTGTGTGAAGCCGAATGCCAATTGGATGTCTGGATAGCCACTCCAACTCGTAGGCCCTATGAACATATACAAGACTTCATACAAATATAAACTATATACAAAAATGCTCAGAGACACATGTGAAGATTTAGACTCAGATGCAGACATTGTATGTTGATAGAAATACGAATGCAGGTACCTCCACTTTGATAACCTCCCCACCATAACAGTATATGAAGAGCTGCAGCATTATGGAGCAGAAGAAAGAAAAGTACACAAGGAGGGCCATGATGGAATCAAAGTGCTGCAAAAGTAATCATCGCTTCAGCTAGATGTGTAATATTTATTATAGTGTATATAGTCACCGTCACGATCTGGTAAATTATGACGCCCACCTCCAGCGAGGTGATAAAGAACTGTCCAAACACGATGGGCGTGTAGATGTGGCGCAGTTGCCTGGACAGGCTAAGTAGCTGCACATGGTAGTCGACTACATCGGCCATTTGCTTATCTACCAGCTGCTCCTCCTGCCCAAAGGCCAATAAGGTAATGTCCTGTTGCAGCGCTTGAAAATGGGCGCGCAAATTGATCGCAAACGATATGAACAGCCCATCCACAGCCGAGGCATACAGCACCACAAAGATAGTTACGAACAGTATGTAGATAAAGCCAAACTCGTAGCCCGGACTCTCGACATCATTGAAAGGGAATCTGATAATAGGAACAACAAAACGAAATTAATATGGAGTTTACCAGAGTCCTATTCTAGTAGCTGGGAAGTTACCACAAATGAAAACAGATTGCTGAAGGGAAAAAAGTGAAAATGTAAAAAAAAAAAAAAAAAAATGTTCAAAGTTCATAAAAGGAAGGTTACTGGATCACATAAAGCCTAATACTAAATTAAAAACAAAAATGAAAAAACTTTTTGTTGTCTTATTTAAACTAAAAATTTTCTTAAATAATAAAAAATTAAAATTGATTTGTATACAGGTTCAAAAGTCGCACAGAAAAGTGGACTAATATACCCTTCTTTACTTCGCAAGCAAAGCATAAAATGTCAGTACCCTTGTGCATACATTTCTTAAGAATGTCATTTCGAAATTGTGAAAAAATAAAAGGGACTAAGCAGACCTTCCTTTCCTTTTATCTTTACTTTCTATGCAAAGCAGCTGTAAAGGACAAAGGTTTCAGGGCTCCCATATCGCTCCCATCTCAGAAGCGAATATCAGCTTAGCCAAACGGAGACGGATTACCCCAGCTAAAACGAAGAAAAATAAGCTCAGTCAGGGAAATAAGTGTTCTTACTTCATGGGCATGGGCAGCTCCCTCTCATAAGGGACTCCCCGCCAGTTGTTGGTGACAATCTTGATGATGGGTCCAAGCATGAAGTAGAGTCCAGTGAAGCCGCAGGACAGGCTATACGCACGGCCCAGCAACGTGGCCAATTTGTTACCGTGCTCCACATACCCATAACCTACTGTTCCATGTTGAGCTGTGCCGAGTTTGAAGTTTAATTAGTATCAGAAAAAGTTACACTCTCCAACAAAGTCATGCCTATGTTAACGGTTAGGTAAACAATTTCATCATTATTATTTACGGATTTGAGAGTAATTTTTTTTTAGTAATTGAATAGATTGCAATATTATTAAAAAAAATTGTCCACATGTATAAAACAAGTTAGCATATCTGTATATAATTTAATTAAATTATATATTAGTTTGGGATAGCCCTAGAAATCAATTTCTGTATTCATTTTAATTTACCAGAAGCAGCAAAATATATAAGTAAGTAGCACCCAATAAACCTAATAAATAAGATTGCTGCCTTACCGTACTTTGGCACATATTGTAATTAATTTGATTTACATTTTGAATCAAGCTGCCTAAAACTCTGCATCATTTGAATGAAGCTTTGCTTGTAAGCGAGGAACGTCCATATCTTGGTGACAGTCACCAAGTTGGTGAATGCGACGCTCAGACAGGCCGTAATCAGCTCCATGTCATCCCGATTATAAACGATATACGACAGCATAGGATACTCGGCGGACAGTACGAATACTAGCGATACAATGTGCCGAAGGCCAAGGGGCGGACTCCTCTCACCAGAACTCTCCATGTTGTGGCCCATCAGGCGTAGACAGTTCTCCTGCAGCTGGAACAGACGAGCCATTAATTGACCTCTCGAAGCTTTCTGTGCTCTGTTTAAAGAGCTGAAGGCAACTAGTCTATATATAGAGACAAGAATCAATTTTAATTGGCGGCCTGTGTAGTTAATTGTACATTTGACATTATCCTCTCTAATAACTGTGATTGTGAGGACATTCGTTGACATGTTGACATCATAAATTATCATTGCTGACACTAATTGGTGTGGGAGTCCCATAGTCACCTTTCCACATTCCACGCTCACCTCCTAGCTTTAAAAAGAAAGTTCGCAATCGTATTGTGCGCAGCAACTTTACTATTTATACCCTGAACCCATTTTCAATGGGAAATCGGGGTATAATGGTTTTGTTGAAATGTATGTAACAGGCAGAAGGAGTCGTGGCAGACCCCACAAAGTATATATATTATTGATCAGGGCGACAAGCTGAGTTGATTTAGCCCTGTCCGTCTGTCTGTCTGTGCGTCCCTCCGTCTGTCAGTATGTTTGAACGCGTCAATTTCAGAAGATATAAGAGCGACCTCAATTTTTTTGTAAAATGTCCGTGTCTACCACGCGGATATCGAGTTTTGCTTTAAAAATTGATAGCTACTCTCGATATTTTTATCGATAAAAAACCTTATCGAAAATCAGTTATAAAATTATATCTCCTACAACTTTAAAGCTAAAGTCTCCAAAATTTTAATGTTATAATGTATGCAATTTATACAATTTCGGGTTTTGTTAAAATTTACCCCCCACTCCTATATCCACCCCTCAACCACATGTTTGTAAAAGGCGTATTTCAAATACTAGAGACTTGTGCTTTGGCAAATGCAAGCAAATCCATGTTATACGCATAATCTAAAAATTTGGCATGCATACTCGTGAGTACCATACGCAGTACAAGTTTATCATATGTTTTCGATAACTTATCCGATAACCTTTTTATCGAGAATAATCGAAAAATTGATTTTGTTTTTTTCAGCCTAATTTGAACACTTTTGGACCTAGAGACTTCAGATTTACTGTGTATATACAGTTGATCGATACGAAGATTTTGTAATTTATAGATTTTGGATACCACGCCTCTTTCGCCCCAATTTGTAAAAAACGCATTTCAAGTACTAGAAACTTGTGCTTTGGAATTTACACACATATGATTACGCTCTGAAAGTTTCATTAGGATTGTATGTCTACAAAAGAAATTATTCGACAAATAAATTCTCATAATACTGCCTACACAGTCAGCAGAGCACGTGACTATCCGTGCGTGTGGATGCGTGTGTGCATAAAAGAAGTGCAGAATAAGTAGAATATCAGCTTAGAGGATTCAGGGTATCTCCCAGTTGAGCAGTCGAGTTATTGCTGACATTCACCGAAAATATGGTCTTCATGAATGAAGACTTTGCTTGGCTTCATCCCTGTCCTAAAACAGCTTAAAGACGTAATTATTTTGCTCACGCTGAAAAATTATTAATTATAATTATAAAAATACTTAAGAAAACTGATTAGGTTTATAATTAAGCCCATTTGAATATAAGAAAGTAAAAGTTGTTTCATCTTAGCAAAAATTCTAATAAGCTCTGAGGAGGTGAAAACCCCGATGCTTAAGGCAGGTACAGAATAAGCAATAATTATGAAACTTGTAAAAAAATTAGTAATCCTATGAGTGATTATGAAACCAGGTGATGATGTTGACTTTTGTAAACTATCTGAGAGCAAATACAGAATAGACAGCATTGAGAGACAAGAGGATATCTTTTAAAGCTGGTCACACAATTAAGTAACATCAAGAGAAGCGTAATGACAAGGTAAAAAATCTAAATAAAGATTTCAATGATCAACGCTAATAGATAGAGCAAAAGTTTTTTTTTAACAACAATTCAAATTTATTAACAACCAGTTTGAGGGGATACAAGTAAGGGTTGAGCTCAACTACTTAGAAACTGGGCGGCAGATATGCATTGCTTGTGTGGCCATGTCCACTGGTGACAGCCTGATGGGAGATGACCTGACCGGCAGAGGCACCAATGCCCGTGCTGCCAACAGCTGTGGCGCCGGCATCACCACCAGTTTGTCCACCGAGGGCGCCGATGACAGAGGTGACGGGGGCGACACCCTCATCGGTCAGTTGGCTAGTTCCACCAAGGGAATCATATTGGGCCTGGATCTGTTGCTGGGCATGTGCCGCCTCCTCGTTGGTCTTGTACTTGATGAAGAAGACCTCCGGCTTGCTGGTGGAGCTAGGCTGCTCGACGACCTCGGCGTGGATGTCGGAGCTGTCGGTCTTCTTGCTCAGCACATAGATGACAGTCTTGTCCTCGTTGACGGCGGGGCTGATCTTGATGGAGGTCTTCTTGTTGGAGCGCTGTGGAGACTTGATGAAGACCACATTATAGTTGCGCTTGGGCACGCCCACTGTAATGTGACGCTCCTTATACTCCTCTTCAATATCCTCGGGCGCCGAGTGAATGAAGAAGCGCTTGGACACAATCGGCTGCTGCTGCTGCTGTTGATGTTGCTCTGCATGATACTGCTGATTTACTCCGGACTGTTGCTGGAAGAACGTCTGCTGCTGGGGCTGTTGAAAATGGACCTGCTGCTGCTGAGCTGCCTGGAAGAAGCTGGCGCCACTGCCACTGATGCTACTCAGGCCTGCCACAGCTGAGGGGCCAGGATTATAGTTGTAGCCTTGTGGTGCGGCCAACGCCACGGCAGAGAGACACAAGACCTAGAGAAGAATAAAGCGGGTATATATAAGATGTCTGGGGTTACTCCTGCTCGAGTCTATTCCTTACAATGAGTCCACGCATTTCTGTACTTGGTTGAGCTGTCTGGTGGTTGATTGGTTGGTGGTTTACTTGGCTATTCGCTGTGAACTGTATGACTCTTGCCATCTTCAGCTGACTTTTATACGCTATACGCTCTTCGCTTTCGACAGCTTAATAAGTGAAGTTCAGCTATTTTTTTTTACATTTTTCAATTTTTTTTTTAGTTTTTTCTTCCCCCTTTTACGTTGCATGTTCATTGTTTTTGTTAGACTTCGTCTTCATCTACTTTTTTGGGTCTTAGTTGTCCGTCAAATCGCCTTCGCCGTCGCCTTCGCTTTTTAAAAATTTCTCATTAAATACCGCGACTTGCTTGTAGTTGGCCCACGATACACAGCCAATTAGCGTGATTCCCCTGCAAGCTTTTTATACTCGTTCATCAGTTACGAAACAGGAATATTAGTTTTGTATCAAGTTCGACTCTGAGCGCTATTGAACAAAACTTTTGCAATTCAAGTACACATCAGATGATAGCACATCTTATCATCTTATCACAACTTATGCATGTAAGCCTCAATGAAGTCTAAAAAATGATCATACAAGAAAAATATCTGCCTAGGCGAGTATCGTACACCTGTTACTCATCGACTCTTAACTTTCGGCTTTTTGGCCACATTTGCTGCAGAGCTCTTAATTGTTTGCCACAGTCCAAGTTTCAGCACCCGAGCTGCCATTATGCGGTTGACCCTTTGGGCCACGCATCGATTAAATGTTATTAAAACCAGGAATTACATAAACACCTAATCAATTTTTAGTACATCTCAGAGACTAAAATATTGCTTGAACTACAAATTTGAAGCCCTAACCTCTATTCTCCTCTGTCCCTCTGTTGATGCTCTTTACCATGGTCATGCTCATGCTCATGTATTTTCAGGCTTAATTAATGACCCGTCGAGCTTTGAAAATTTTGCATGTGAGGGGCCCCATTTATCATGGAGTGAGATGCAAAGAGAGAGCGAGAGAGAAAGACTGAGAGATAAAGAAAGAGAGACATAGTTCCATTCAGTGGAACATATCTCCAGCTGTCCGAGCTGGCCAAGATTAATTTACTTTTGATTATTTGGACAAAAGCCCTTTGTCAATACATGAAGACGGCAGCAATTGTTGGCCGAGGCGCCCATCCACCTATTTGCGGATAGTGTAATGATCCGTTTACTCCGCAGCCGCGCCAGCCGGCTAACCATAGCTAACCCAGGCTAATGAACATGCAATGCAATGCTCCCTCAACGCTTCTCATTACTAAGTTCCTCAGTCGAGTGTCGGCGATTGGGTCGGGGCTAAGCCACAACTTGAGGGCGTTGCACAATAAGACATCGCATGCCTCTTCATGCAATATCTGAGAAATATTTGGTGTTGTAAACCAAGTCTGAAAAATTATTAAAAGGTTATAATGTATATTATTGGTAAAGACTAAGAACGCGAAACATTAATTATAATAAATACATATTAAATGATTTTGGAGATTAAATGAGATCCAATATGACTATCCAGCTAGAAATCTAAATTTACTAACGTTAGGTCAAATTTGTATTTTTATTGGTGTGAGTTATATGGAAAATCTTTTACAAATAATATGTTCCTTTATCAACGTTTCATTTTAAAGCAACAAATTAAATGAGAGCTGCGCGCAGAGCTTTTAGCTTGAGCAATAGCTTAGTCAGCAACCGTTATTATGTATCGAAACCAAAAGTTGACTTAAAGACGTAGAGCTTTGAATTTCTCGATTCACTAAGCAATTGTAAAAGACTTAAGAAGCAAGTTTTTGTTTGGTTTTTGATGTTGATTTGAAAACAAAAACCGTTTTTATTAACTCATCATTTTTATAAAGTTTTCGTCGAATTTTGTTGCTAATCTCTGATGTATATGTATTTTATTATAGATGTTATGCATAATATTTTAATGATTTAATTCATTTTTTATTAATTAATAAATTATATATACTATTTTATTTTACTATTTTGTTGCAGTATTGGTAATTGCTGCGTATTATCGCAAAAACCTTGACCATGTTAATTTCCTATGCACGCCATAGTCGCAAAAGTGAAAATTGTGGTCGTAGAAAGAGATTTAAATATAATATATTATATATGTATATAAAAATGACACGGCAGGCGTAAAGTAATTGTTGTTGAATTTTGTTTCAGTGATATAACAATAAATCGCTAATGAGCCGTTGAGCCCCGTTACAATCCCAGCAACAACAGCTACCAAAGTACACAAAGGAACATCGAGTGCTTTGAAACAAAAGAACAAAAATACGTCGACTGTTCCGCTGAGCATGCGAGCGATATTATAATTGTATATCACATACAAATACAATTTATAAACAAGTAAGAACGTTGCAGTCGGGCGTTACCGACTGCGGAATACTCATTCACATCCCATCAGCAATTTAGTAGTTAAGTTTCGCTCTAACACTGTAGAAAATGCAGTTTTTCCCGATTTTCCACGCCCCTACTGCCCAGTCAGTTTTTAGAACGAGATAACGGTACCCTAACTGCAAAGTTTGAATGCTTACCCTCAAAAAATGTCAAAATTACAGGGTATTTTTCGATATGCCACGCCCCTAAAGAGGCGTAAAAATTAACTGGTAACTTAAGTATATAAATTTGAAGCTTCTAGCTATTATACTTTAGGAGATATAAACTTTTGCGGATTGCCACGCCCCCTGTGGGCGGACATATATCCGACAAAACTTTTTGCTCTTGGGTGATCAGCCCGAGTATATATACAAAATTTGAGGTCTCTGGCATCAATGGTGTCCAAAATATAGCAGAATTTAAAAAATCACTATATCTTCAGGTCCGATTTGCCATGCCCCTAATGGGCGTAGACATATAATTTGACTATATAGAATCATAACATTAGCTGACGTGCAAAATTTCAGCGCTCTAGCTGTAAAACTATTGGAGATACGGTTTTATCCGATTTGGCACGCCCCCAATGGGCGTAGATGTATTCCCCATAGTTCTTGATCTTTGGTGGTCGATGCGGATCTTTATTTTAAATTACAGCTTTCTAGCTCTTCAATTAATATGATTTCTGGCATATCGGAAAATGCATTTTCCGATTTGCCACGCCCCTATTGGGCGGATCGGGAAAATTTTAGCACTTTATAAATCGGAGATATACACAGTATGTGTTCCAAATTTCAAGTCTCTAGCTTCAATAGCGCCGAAATAGATTGCGTTCATACAGACAAACGGACAGACGGACGGACGGACGGACAGCAAGACGGACATTGCACAAAACCAATATAGTGATTCACTTTCGTGAATGAGTATAAAAATGACGAAACACAGCGTTTGATTAATCTCCGATTATACATCAAAACATCATCGTCATCATTCAGGTAAATATCTGCGCCAACCAAATTATGACCCACATATTCCAAGTATTTGATAGACATTGATTGATTTTGAAACAATGCAAAACAAAATATAGAAATTATAATTTTATTTATAATAACTATTATTAAGGCAATACTAGATATATGCTTTGCAAGCAAGCATGTGCCAATCATATTTTCGACCCAATGATGGACATTGATTGTAAGTATGGCACTTTACTAAAAACTATTATTTAACGAAAATATTATGAGTCTGCATTAAATTTGCGCAAATTAATATCAGTGCAAGGAAAATCAGAATAATGATATACTATATCAAGTTAATTTTTACAGAAATGCGAATTGCAACAAAATTACTTGAGTCTACTTCAGTTACATATTTGTTATATTGATCCCCGCAAATAATTCCAAAATTATATAAATAATGATAATAATTTGAAAACCCAAAAACACATGGACATGTAACGTCTAGTCTACTGGACGTTATGTAACGCGAGCGCACAGCCCAATTAAACGCCACGATCCGCAAATTGAACTGGTCAACTGGGTCAGACGATCGGCAATGGCCATCGAAGCGATTTATGAATTGGCCAAAAACTGTGCAATTTGGCGCGTCACTAATGACAATCTCGCGCGATTTGTGCAAGTTATGTTTAATTATTGATGCGATAATGCGGGCAGCTCTCAAAAACAAATCCCCCAACGTTGGTCAGCGAAATTGAATTGTGTATGGGGCCCTAAACAATGAATATGCTAATTCATATATGACTTCCGGCGAGTCGGATTGTATGCGTGTATGCATAAGCCCCAAAATATATTGTCTGGCAGATGACGCAGCCAATTGCCTGTGTGAGAGTATTGTCTAGTATTGTGGAGAGAGTAAGTACTAAAGACTGTGTCTCAAGGTTACTCAAAAGAAAACTGGTATGAGTGATAGAGGCGACTGATAGACTCTTAGGTGGCCTGTAAAAAGTCTTTAAGCCTTCTATATTATCCGCGTAACGCAAAGCGGTACTACGTTGTATGTCAGCTTTCAATTGTATGTCATCTTGGATATCCGACAGACGAATTGAGCTTTTCTGGTATCTCTTTAACATAGTTTATATTAAACATGTTTCGAGCAATTTTAATGCAAACATAGACAAACGCTGTTAGATTTCAACCCGGCCACTTTCAGTTGCTCAGCAGTATAATACCCCCAAATTTTTTAATGCCTACAGGGTATTACAAAGGTAAGTTTCTTCAATGGCGCTTGTGAGATCTGTTGGCTCCGCTCTTAGTGGAATTTGTTGTGGTCTCTGATGGTTTCAGTTTCATTTGAACTCTGCTTCGTCGCTCATCAAGCCAAGCAGCAGCAGCTCGATCATCATCACAATAGATTTGGGTATCCGCTTTATAAGTGACAGCCGACCACTGATTAGCATTTAGTTGGTATCTGTTAGCCGAGAGACCCGGTGCTGCTCTTCAAAACCCAACCTTCAGTCGAACGAACTCGAGCCGAAATGCGCACGTTTATTGTAAGATATTGGACTCAGTCCACGTAAGCTTGATTTCTCATGTGTTTACCTAGGTTATGTGCCTCTTGGGCGTGTCGCTGGCCAAGCCGCAAGGATACAATTACCAGGCGGGACGCATACCCGGCTTAGCGGGTCTGCAGCAGCAACAGCAAGGTGCAAGCCTGGATGAGCAACGGCTCCTGCAGCAGGCGCTGGAGGCACCCAAAGTTCAGCAACTACTGAGTACACAGCCGACACAGAGCCAGCAAGTCTTCCAACAGCCCCTGATTCTCCAGCAACCACAGCCGCAGCAGCAGCAGCAGCAGATCTTCCAGCAACCTCAGCAGCAACACCAAATTTTCCAGCAACAGGCCACAAACTTTGGTTACAATCAACTGGCGCAACAGCAGGCCTACAGCCCAGTCGTCTCCAAGGATATCT